TATCATTCTATCTGATATGATATTTATCAAATTTAATCTAATTATTTCATTATTTATGCTTTTTGTTTAAATTTTGTTGGTTTATATTCACGATGTGATATTCATATAGCCCATGAGAAACTTAGTTGCAGCCATGGGTTCACCTTCTATTGATTTTTCATGTCTATATTATTTGAAATTAAATTATAATTGTATTTATTTTCAGTATTATTACTTGTTTTTAAAAATTCGCTTAGAATCTGTTTAACTTCATATCAAATGCATGATTATTTGGACATATGAGTCCTAACTTTACTTCTTTTATTTTTATTTTTTTTTTTTTTTTTTTTTTTTTTTTTGCTCCCTGGTCGTTTCTTTTCATGAATTTAATCGAAAAAATCGAATTATTAACTTTACAGAGATCGTCCACTCAACAGTCTGAACTCAAACGTGTCTTACCACTTAACTCTCTCTTGTAGATAAGAGAAACTCATTATTAATAATATACACAATTAATTAATTAGTATTCCCAACCAATCACTTCCAATCTATAGTTTAGTTGCTGTTAATCAAAAGTAGGAGAAAACAGCCCAACGTCCAAGAAAATGTAACACAACACAAGCCAAATTTTCAAGCTAAACTTGTTCAATAGTCGTTGCACCAAGCATATATTAATACTATCATATCACTTGCCTATGAAGTTGTTAATGGAAAGAAAGCCTGTCACTTGAATTTCTGACTACCATTAGCAATCTAATGTAAGAATAAATGTTCTTCTTTATCATAAAATGTAACCCAAAGGAACAATAAAATTAATTATACAATGAGAAAGTAAAGAAAATTACTATATATCATCATCTTTTTGGCAGATAGTTTTCTTAAATTTGAGTAAGATAAAACCAACAAGCAAAGCTACTGCTCCTCCCAAAACCATTGCAACTGTTTTTCCTGTCTCTTTTCCATTTTTTTCCTCTTCCCCTGTCAAAAGAATATTGTTATTTCATGAATGAAATGCACAAAAATTTTACCAAAATAAGAAACAATCATGGTTTAAAGAAAAACTACATGCATGAAAATTGCATATTTTCATAGAAAAATCCTTGAAAATCATCTTTTAACAAGTCGAAAGAAGTTTCTTTAATTAGTAATTCAATAATCAAATATCTGTCTTGTGATATAACAGTTTAAGCTAAAAAAAAAAAAAAAAAAAAAAAAAAAAAAAACCCATAAAGGAAAAAATCTCAAATTTCTTTATTATATTTAATTTCCATGTAAGTTTACAAAAAAAAAAAAAAAAAAAAAAAACCCATAAAGGAAAAATTCAAATTTCTTTAATTATATTATTTCCTGTAAGTTTACCTGGATAAAAATTGCTTTGTTTCCCATCTGGGTGATAAGAGTAGCTCAAGAAGCACTTATCCAAATAAACCTGACCTGAAAAAGAGCTACCACAATCCTCCTTCACAATTTCTACTGCATTTCCTATACATTCAATACAATCACAACCTCCTAAATAATCATTTTCACACTGTACAATAACATGAACAAACTCATAATCCATTTCATAAAACCCTTTATCATTTATCATCTCCCCATTCTCCATTGCCAACAAAGCAGCATCCCTTACCTCTAAAAACCCACCGCTAACCGCCTTTTTTTCGCTGCATTTTTCATGTAGCAATTCACGTTCAGTCGTTGCAATTTCGTCTCCAAAACCATCAGTTTCATAGTAAAAATAGCATCCATTAAGCTGAAGTCTAGCTGCTACAGCTTTTTTACACGTACTGTTTGATAATTCAGGAATTTTATTAACACAGTTATGGCAGTCATTGTTGCTCAAATCACCTCTGCATTGAAACAGACCGGAGATGCCAACCTTTTCGTCGCCTGAAGTGGTTTTAAAGAACTTGGAACGAGAAGATTGTGCAGAGAGTTCTTGAAAGAGAGAGGAAAGAACTTGTGAGTGAGAAGTTGCTTCGTGTGTTTGATTTGCACATTTGGTGTATACTAAGGAAGTATAATAGTAGTCTAAGGAGCTAGCTTTGATAAATGTTAGAAAAAGAATGAAAGTTACTAATGGAATTGGTTTCAAGATTGAATCCATTTTGGTTAATTTGAGGGTTATTTTCAGTGCCTTTTTCAAAGAACTGAATGTGGGGAAAAGAACCCATTAATTGGTTAAAAGGTACATTATGGGTAATGGAACTGGTGGATTGAGGAGTTGGGGTTTGAGTTTCTTTTCAAACCTACTTTTATCTAATATGCAATCTCTCATGTGAAATAAGATAAACTATATACACTAGTCAAAATTGGCCTATCCAATTATGGAGGAATTAGTTGACTTATGTTATGATAAAATAAAATATTATCTTAATATAATCCTAATTTCATCTGCATAAATGGGCCTATTATTTAAAATTGCATTTGACAACAACCTTTTAAGTAGTAAAAACGCTACTTAAAAAATTGTTCGCTAACATAGAATTTAGATTTTTAGAGATTAGGGTAGCGCGTTTTCTAAAAAGTTAACCATATGTAATGTTTATTAAACACTACTAAAACATTTAATGGGTAGTGAGACCAACGGTACATCACGCTGCCCAAAAGAATATTTAGATTAACTATAATGGGAAAACGTTTTGGTTCACCAAATGAAGATTTAACCAATTAATGAACTTTAAACCTTAAATGAACAGTTGTGAACTTTGAATAATACCTTTGACTGAGACACATATACAAAAATGACTTACAACCGCAAGAAAATTAAAATCAGTGGTTGGATCTATCTGAAATTTCTGAAAGAAGAAGCAAATTAAGCCATAAAAAGAAAGTCTTTCTAAAAAATAAATACACTAAAATTAGAAACACTAAATTTACCCTTACATTTCGCTGTGTTCTCCAATTCTCAGCCCCAATTCTCTTTCTCCTCTAATTAGTAATTTATCACTCCTTGCTCGCATAATACATATCATCTTTTGCTTACCCTTTCAGCTCGGGCGGCGTGGGGAAGGAAATCTATCCTTCATCTTCTTTCCCCCGCCACACGACACCAGGGCTGCCCCACAGCAAAACGACAAAGCAAAAGTAAGTTTGAAACGACGATAATCAACCAACAATCATGACTTATAATGCGCATCTATTCCAGCTTTTGGAAATAAATGTCATTTCTGCTCAGGATTTGGCTACTGTATCCAAATCTATGCGTACATACGCTGTCGTTTGGGTTCACCCTGAAAGAAAATTAACCACCAGAATTGATCAGAACGGCCATACCAACCCTCAATGGAATGAGAAGTTCGTGTTTCGTGTTGATGATGCTTTCTTGGATTCTGAAACTTCTGCTATTATGATCGAAATTTATGCTGCTGCTTGGCTTCGTGATGTTCAAATCGGCTCTGTTAGAGTTCTTGTCAGCAATTTGTTTCCTTCTAATAACAATAACTCAAAAATGCGATTCGTCGCTCTTCAAATCCGCCGTCCGTCCGGCCGGCCGCAAGGGATTTTGAACATGGGCGTGCAGTTGTTAGATAATACTATGCGGAGCATGCCTTTGTATACTGAGCTTAGCGCTTCTGCTGTTGGGTTTAATGATCTTATTGATGCCAAAACGAATACCAAACAGACCATTGAAGAAAAGACATCGAAATTACGTCGAACACAAAGTGATCATACAGATTTCACCACCAACGCCGATGAATTTGGCGTAAAAGGAAGTCATACAGCCAAATCTTCCGTCATAAACGGCTCGTTGGTTAACTCATCGGCGGTGATTCATACAAATAACAAAGATAAAGATGCTAGCACAGGTAGTCATGGAAATGGTAGCATGGTGAACGGTTCACTTTGCTCCGATGTAGGACCGTCAGCGTCTGTTGTAGCGGCAGCAATTGCAAAAGGATTGATAAAAACGCCGGCAAATGCAGGTCCTCCGACGAAAAGCAGAGGAAGCTCAATATTAGAAGATTGGACGGACAATGATAGTGTGGAAGGATTAAGAACAAAGCTAGAGAGATGGAGAACGGAACTGCCGCCGATATACGATAACGATAAACAGAAAATGATGTCAAAAAGTAGACGGAAACAGCAACAGAGACGACGGTCGGAGCATCCAGGATTGTTTACCTGTTTCGGTAACATTTTTGGATGTGAAATTTCAATCACCTGTGGAGGAGGTAGCAGCAGAAAGAAGTATGGTAATGGCAAGGTTTGTCACTTAAGTTCTGTTGAAGGTGAATCATACTTGTGATAGACATAAAATAACAATGGATAAAAAATAGTAAAAGCATCCATTTTTGTTGAGCAACATCCAGAAGAAGAGAAGATTTGAGCAGAACAGAGGAAATCCATTAACGAAGAAAATTGCAGAACTGGATGCTTAGATTAAAGGAGAGGCATTTTTCTCGGATTCATGGTGGAATTTTTATAGTGCATATATGTATATATATAAATACACATATGCACGGTGACTGCAAAAGCTGGGTGTAGAAATCAGAGGGATGTGCATTGTAAGGGATGATAGGAACATTATCAGAGTTTTTCTTCTTTTTTCCTTTTTCTCTTTTTGGTTTATTTTCCATTTTAAATTTTATCTACATTAATTCTTAACAGTGAAGATGAGATTGAATGGTATGGGCTAATCTATGTTTTGTATATTATAAATTCCAATTTCCTTTTTGAATTGCTCCTTCACTTTTGTTTATGACAGGCTATGCTTCAAAAGAGGAGACAAAAAAAATACATATGTATGTTCTTCTTGTATTGTTACTTGAATGAAACCCTTTTTAAATCTGAATGAATGATTCATTTTTAATTGGATTAAAGTAATTAGTTTAGTAGAAAATACAAAAACAATGTGTGTGTCTAATCTATCTAAATAAATACAGAGGTAGTCCCTATAATCCAAAAATATTTAGGCTTCCCTCTCATAATTTCTCTTTTTGCAGTCCCATGGCTAATAGCAACTCGAATACCAAAACCAATCAATGAAGAAATATTCAAGAGAAACCATTATAATATCAAGTATAAAGAGCCTTGGCAAAACCAGAGTGTTTATTGGAGGCTATGCAGCAGATAGTTGTAGAGAGTTTACTCTAAAAGGTGATATAGGTTCCAAGAAGCTCTTTTGTGAAGTCCTGTGATTGTTGCAGAAGTTTTCATATGAAAGAACTGATCAAGAATGGCATAGCTCTTGTTGGCAATTGGAAATTGCAGCCACCATTTTCTTTCTCCATATGGATTGTATTGTCCTATGTAGGGAAAGACAAATTTTCTTGGAGTTTATCCATTGCCTGCATTTTCACAGCCTTCTTATCACCATTACAGGCATTTGCCGAAGAACAATGTGCAGAGTCTAAGCAGTTTCGAGATGCCTGTGATTTGTAACGGAAGCCAAAGTGACATTAAGATGCAGGCAGGCAGGCAAGAGGCCTTAAATAGAACTCATAAGTTGAACCTTTTATTCTTTTCAGTTGAAGTGTACTACTATAGTTGGTTCTTTATGAGTTTACCTTTTTGCAGTCTTCCAACTCCAAAGCAAACTGTTACTGTGCTCTGTTTTTATTTATTTATTTATTTTTTTTCAAAGGAGAGAGATCTGTTTGAGAAAAAGCCAAGTTCACGAATAAAAGAAAACAGGCTTATTTGGTGAACTCTACAGCCAAATTGTGCAAGGTGGCATTGTGAATACAAGATGCATCAATTTATTATTCATATGAACTTCAAACAACGAGTCATGCAACTCTCTCTCTATGATGCAATTCTCAGCCCAGAGTAAAAGTTGATCTGTCTCAAGGTCAAGAGCTATAAAATTTGAGATTAAAAACCTTCACTACTCTTTTTCATTGTTGCCACTTCCCTTGCAAAATCAGAACAGCTTTGTACAGATGAAGACTGCCAGTAATCTAATCGCTATCGGATGAGTATGAACTGTTTGAGTTGTCATCAGAATCTGAGGAATCATCACCGCTGGAATCATAGTTTGCTGCATTAAACTTGAATTCTGCAGAAGCTGGACAAAAAGCCATCAGTGTGGCCTTCATTTCATCCTCGTTGAGGTCAGGATGCTTCATGCATTCAACAGTTATCTCCTTGAGCAAAGGTGAATTGCCTAGCACAAATTGGATAAACCTCGTCTCAGGATCTTTACCATGAAATGATCGCACTGTCACTTTCTGTAATTGGTTCAAGAAAAAAGGAGATTGGTTTTGTTCTTCCCAAAATTTTAAAACAGGTTCAGAGACATATTCATCTTTGCAGCTGCATGCCTACACAATAGAATGATATCATCAGCCATTCTTTAATAATAAGCAGATAGTGTTGTAACAACTAAATTAGGTCACCAATGATTGTATAATCATATAGGCAAAAAATTAATCACAAAAGAAATAGAATTGTCGTTTGCTACTTAATACTTACTGTTATATCGAGTATTTTCAAGTTGATGGCACTTTCAATTATGGCGAGCAGAGACGAGACTTCCTCCAACTTTTCAAAACAAAATGCATCAAGTTTAAGAGTCCTTAGATGGCTATAAGAAGTTGAAACTTCAGTGAATGTATCACCTGCAGCCAGGAACTAAAAGCAAAAGCAGAGAATAACAAATTCAGTCCATGGTTTTCAGAAGTGTGCAACAAAATCTAGGATATCTTAAATCGTCGTACCTTCTGAAATTGACAACGCACGTATAGCTGCTCAATTGCAGGTGGCAGGCCACGGAATTTGAATCTTAGATCAAACTGATTATTCTCAGACCCAAGTCGATATAAATTGATAGACAATGTCTCAAGAAGTGGTGTGTTGAAACAAATAGATTTAAATTCTCCATCAAAGCAAAAGTACTTGAGATTGGGGACATTAATATGAAGATGATCAATACAACTCAAATTTCTTACTGTCAATTGTTCAAGCAATGGGCAGCTAGCAATAAGCCTCTCAAATGCAGCAGTTGATATGTTAACTTTGTTCAACTGAAGGCTGCTAAGACTGTGAAATCCTTTGAATGAATGTCCTGATTTAACCTCAAAATGACGGAGGCTCAACTTTCTCAAATGCTGACAAGAGAACAAATCAGATGGCACTTCATGGCGCCGACCTCTCCGGATCATGAGGGACAACTCCTGAATAGACTTCTGCGATAGTCTCCAAATCCACAACTTCATATTGTAACAGTCTTTCACTTTTTCAACATGCACAGAAAATTTCTCAATTTTTCCTTCATGTCGAGTGAGAACATAATTTATTATGCCCTCAAGTTTCCGTTGTGACCTTTCATGAAAAAGGTTCTCATTAACTATAACATGTGGCACTGTGTGCCATTTTTCCTTCCACTTCTTTGACAATGTACAGGTCCTTACAGCATCTTTAAGTGGTAAACATGCTAAGATGTGATCAATCACATTGCTCGGAAGATCACTGATTCTATCTAAACCAGTACCAATGGAAATCTTCTCCATAGTAGTTAATATGCAGCGAAACCAAGCCTGCAAACAAAATAAAACCAAATATTTTATCTTCTGGACAGCTTTTCTTGGATTATATGAACACTGACATCACCGGATACACACCAAGTAACTAGATCCAAAAGTGAAAAGGAAAAGATACAATAACCATTCCCAGGTTATCCACAACTATGAAGTGATAAATATAAACCAGGTCACCATGTCCTTCCACGGCAACAAAATTAATTGGTCTAGAGCATTTGATCTTTATCTGTCATTGTCCAATTACAAACTGAACTTGACTAATGTTGATTGGTTTTCAGGTACATTTGTCAACAATAAAAAAAGACAGTGCTGCTGCTGCAACAATAAAAAAAGTTCAACTAACATTAAATTGTTTCCTTATTATCAGAGTTAGCACAGAGTGCAAACAGTTTATCATACCATTGGAGAGGCTCCATGATTAGCTACAACCTTGAAAAAGTTTCAAACTGATGCATCTAGTTTCAATTTAAGCATAATATATATATATATATTAAAAAATAATTCCATCCAGCAAGTCTATAGAACAGATTCCTTCTATCAATATTATATACATCAAAACATTAATCAAAGCGTACAAGAAAGCGCCAACCAGTACTACTGGATATTTTCACAGGAACAATTTTCAAAAATATTTAGTTTTCCAGGAAATATTGTACCCTGTAGATTGTCTAGCAAAACAAGCACTGCAAGCATGAAATGCATCCAATTATCGAAAAATACTACCCAAGCAATAATCATTGAACCGTACCCCAAAAATAAAATAAGAAGACAAAACTTTAGTATTTCTGGCGTAAAGAAAAGATCTCTAATTTCAATCAAATAAAAAGCTAGATATGGGTATTCAAGATTTTATAACCTTGAGAACCCTAGAAATCCAAGTCTATTACTTTTCCAGAATGAAATATCAAGACAACAAAACAACAGTAGAAACGCTCCAAATTTGCTTTCTTTCTACAAGAATTCTAGAAAACAAGAACAAATTTGATACAAAACATAGTAAAGCATAACAGTACCTGGACTAGCTTCTTCAAATCGAATATGCTACTTTGTGTGCCTCAACCAAGATTAGTTAGGCTTCCACTTAACAAGATACTTCTAATCCTTGATAAAGCAAAGGGCAATTCTGAGTGACAAATAGAAAGGAAATCAAGGCAGGAAATTTCTTGATGCCCGCACCACAAAATTGGAAGCAATTTTCCTGGAAAAGTCAAATCTTTTTCCTAGTATCTTCCTCTACCCAACTCTACCTCAGTATTTGTTTACTAGTAAAAAATAGACCAATACCCTAATTACACAAATTCACTCGTACACAATAAGTGGTGTGAGCACAACACATTATAACATACACACTGCAAAAAACTCGCTCAAACACAAAGTATTTGGTACTGTATACACTCAAAGATCACAACCTTTTAATAAACCCAAGAAAATCTACATAGCTAGTCGATGGATATTAATCTTGTTCATAATTTCTTAATTACATCATAATTATCGTTTTGTGCACCGTTTGGTCTTTTCACTATGAAAACCAAAGAAGCCCACAAACAAAGGAATATTTTTTTGACAATTAGGAAAAAAAAAGGATTGGTGCTTTTTCACTTTGTCACGTGCGGGCATGCAAATAAAAATACAAATGAAGAATCAAAATCTCTCAATTCTCAATACAAAAAAACAAAATGAGGGTTAGGGTTTAATTGGGCATTGAATATCTGATCGAATCAATTCAAAACTGACCTGCTAATTTGGTTTGAGAGAGAGAGAGAGAGAGAGTGAGTAATTTTATCTCAGCTTCCTTTGGTGGCAACGCTAGCTTTCTTGCTCGTGCAAGTGAAAAGAGCGCAGCAAATGAATAGGTTTGTGATTGCTTTATAGGGAAGTAATTGGAGGAGAAGGGAAGGGTGCTGCTTAGAGAGTAAGAAGCTATTAATGGCGATTGCTGATTGGATAAAGTGCATATGATATTTGTCCTTGAGCAGCAAGTTGGATGTTTTTTGAGGCGACATTTGTGGGCTAGGGATTTGGCCCATTGGACCAACTAAGAATTACTATGGATTAGCCATAACTAATGGAGGTTTGCTATTATTATTTTTAGAAAAATATTGTAATTTTATTTTATAAAATATTATTTTTTGTTTTTTTTTTTTTTTTTTTGAAAGATTGCATTGAATAAATCATAAATCATTCAACTAGACCTCTTAATTTTTTAAAAGAAAAGAAGGAGTAGTAATTTTATCTCAGCTTCTTTTCAACACTACTTTCTTCTCTCAGAAAGAGCCACAAATAATATTTGTGAATTCTTTAATACGAGTAAGATTAGAGGAAAATTCTTAAGAGTAAGGGAAGCTAGTTAATCCTTCTATTGAGTAAGTGCATAGTGAATTTGTCCTAGCAGGCAAGTTATGTTTTCGACATTTTCTAATTTCCCATGACCAACTAAGAAATTACTATGATACCATAACTAATCAGTTTGCTAATTATTATTTTTAAAAATATTGTAATTTTATTTTATAAAATATTATTTTTGTTTTTTTTTTGTTTTTTTTGAAGTATATAATAATTTATTTCTTTAATATATTAGACAGAAGGAATTATAGAAAGGTTTTTCTGTTAACTTGTTTTTTATTTATATCCTTAATTCCACTAGACAGAAATTCTTTATCATTATCAAATTCAAGGCCCAATTAATTACATCTGAACAAGCGACTACACATGAACTACATCCAAATCAAATAATGATTTGAACAAAAAAAAAAAAAAAAAAAAAAAAAAAAAAAAAAAAAAAATTATGTACATGTGTTTGCGTATTACATTTAGCCAACTAACTATAGTCTCATTGATTTTCTAGTCAGTATAAAAAGTGAAATCGAGTTTAAGCCATCTCAAGATTTTTAACAATTTAGTGAGTCAATGAATGAATTACTATTATTATATAGTTTATCGTGTTATTTCGATGCATTGAACCGCCTGATGAATAAAAAAAATTTTAATATGAATTATTCAATAAAAAAATTCTTAATGTCAATTATTTAAGGTATTGAATAAAATCGAATTGTAAACATCATTATCAATTAAACTAATAACATTAGATATGATTATTACTTTTTAGAAAATTATAAGAATGTCAAATAGATAGAAATATTACCATATCTATTAATAATAAAAAAAATTTAATTAAAATTTTTAGCTCTTTATATTAAATGAAAAAAAATAGAATTATAATTAACTAAAAAAATATAATTATAATTAACTGACATTTAGCCTTTGTAATTAATAATAGATAAAACTTTAGAAATATTTTAGATTCTTTACGTTGTGCTACTTGATTGAATCTCCACACAGGTTTAAAAAATATTATTTAAAAAAATATATATATATGAGTACACTGTTTCCCACGGGAACACCAATATTGACCACTCAAGACAAGTTCTCACTAAAAAAAAAAAAAAAATATTGTTTACGCTTTCTGTCAACTGAATAAAATATAAATGTCCATGTCATTTTATCCAACCCTACACATATTGAGAAAAATAATAATTTGAAAATGACATTTTGGTTAGGGTTATCATCCTTATTAATGGGAACATGATAAGGAAAGCAGCATTTGGCGAACTTTACAAAGCATGGACCGACCTGTAGGATTTTTGCAGGATTGAATCTTAGTTCCTTTAAATTTTTATTATTTAACTATAATGTTAAGGATTAATTTTGATTCAATCAACTTGTTTTTGTCTTCGGTCTTGATTGTGGATCGCTCTATTACTAATTACTAATATAATAATCAACAACCGAATATTCTTTAGCAGATTTAAAAAACCAAAGTTGTGGGAATGAGTCAAAATTGCCAACCATAAGACTTGTAGATAAGGATTGGCTCAACAATACACAAACTATAATTTACACCTAACCCTCCACAAAACATTACTCCATTTCATTTAATTCAATTATTTGAATTTTTATTTATTAGTCTCCATATAATTTATACTTACATTACTTCTGCAAACAAAACATTTTCACGTCAACACATATTTGGATTTAAAAATAAACTGTATGTCCAAAACTTTATCTTAAGATCGGAATTTTGAAATTTGGAGTCATTGTTGTTGGAAAGATAATAGAGAGACACGTGTGGAAAAAAATTCCTTACTAATATAATTACCAATTATTTTTATATAAATTCATACTAAAAATATTTTTAATTATATAATATTGTATTATATTACAGCCTATTAAACATGTGTTACTAATAATTTAGATGGCTAAAAAGAGAATTCATGATTGATAATTTTATTTTAACTTTGAGGCTTAACCACCACTCATAATGGAGAAGGGAGAAATGTCAATTTACTATTCAATCATGAAATTGCGTACAGTCAACGTTTTTACATTATTCATTATTGTGTTATGCTTATTTTTCAATCTTTATCATCAAGACAAAAATAATTTCAAGCAAAGAGTCTTTTCTTTCAATGAGCTGAAAAAAAATAATAATAGAAGTATATTATTTATTTTGATTGAGAAAAAAAAAAGACAAATTGGTAATAAAATAAATTAATTACAAAAATTATGTATAAAATAAATTAATTAACTTAAATACGGGTTTTATGCCTTTTTAAATTAATTTTTTTTACCTTATTTAAAACAAATTTTAATTTAAACAAAAAATAATTTAATTCAATGGACATAAATTGACCCAAGTGTAGATACCTGTGGAGAAGGGAAGACACACATGGAAGCAAAGAAAAGTGACTCTTGATTTGCACATCGACCAGCTGGCCGTCATCTATTTATTTATTTTTGTTTTTTTAATAATGCGGCCTTTAATCTTTTCTCTTTTTTTCTTTTTTTTTTTTATATATCATTTTCCTCCTTTTCCTCACTTTTCTTTCACGTGAAAGGCATTTATCTTATCCGTTGTTAACAAAATATTGTAATGAAATTTAATATAATAGTATAATTAAGTCATTTTAATTTAATATTTATAATAAAAATATATTCAATTATATTATTTCATTACAATTTCTGCAATATTTATAGTTATTAAAAATATAAAAATTTTTTTCTTCAAAAAAAATACAAATTTTATAAATTAATTATGTTTAAAAGAGATTATTTATAGTTGTGTTTGTTTTGCGGATAACGATTTATTTTTAGAATATTCTTTTTGTAATAATAAAGAAATATTAAAACCGTTAATTATAAGATTATAAAAATATTTAAATGATGAATTCAAAATTTATATTTTTTTATCAGAAAAATATTTCCCTTAATTAATTTTTCATAGTACTTGAAGCATTAAAGAAACCTCTTGTGGATTTAAAATTGATTTAAAAAAAATTCAGATGTCTAAAAACAAGTTTTTGATAAATTCTTAAAATATAATAAGTTTTTGACAAACTTTTGCCAAGAATAATATTTCATGATTTCATTAGCAATAATTGGAGCGTGATCACACGCGCTACGAAAAGCAAGTAGGGAAGCAATGTATTAGTTTATTGTAATTATTAGTAAAAAAAAAAAAAAAACTTAAAGTTAGTTTTAATTTTTTAATTGTTGTTAAAAATTAAAATTTTTAAATTTTTGGAGACACTTTAAGTCTTATTTTTGAAACTAATATTTTTTTTATACATATTGACTTGATATTTGAGAGGTAATTTTGAAATGATAATGAAATTTAAATATCTCATAAAATTTAATAATTTCATCATTTTATTTTAATTCTAAATTAACATTTTTAATTTTGTATTTTTATTAATAATAGAACCTAAACCATTTAATTTTATTTTAAAAATATCAATCAAATGATATAATAATGAAGTTTCATAGCTTTCACAATTTATAAAATTTAAATTCTAAACATTTTATGTGTATATGAATTAACATATTCCATCAACCCAACAAACAAATAAAAAATTACTATAAAAATAAGTTCATTATTTTTAAAATTTTTGACATTTTAAATGATATAACAATTTAATTTATGAAATGCTAAGGTTTAATTATGATTTAATTTTTAAATTGTTAGTATTTAAAACATTTTAGCCTCCCAATATTTTTCGTTTCCACCAATGATAGAATTAATGTAAAACTATTAATTTCTAAATAATAAAAATGACTAAAAATAGATATTAAGACAAAAATTTCATGATTTTGTTTTTAAATAATCTCCGATTAGCGAAGCTTTACCATGTATGGAGTATGGATAAACCAAGTTAACTAAACTAAACCCCACAACATCTTCAAAGTACTGCACAATTAATTATTATAGCGTCATTCACAAAGCTTTGTCTCTCTCTACCTCTTCCTTTTCCTTTCCTTCCCTCCTGGTTCCTCCCATTTTACTCTAACCTCTCTTCAAGACAAAGTACACCTCTCTCTCTCTCTCTTGTGGGTCTTGAACAAGTCTCTCACGGGGCATAAATTGCTAGCTTCTGTTCAAACAAATGCAGATTAAGTTCTGAGAGAGGGAGAGAGAGTTTTGCAAGGCAAATAAAATAAAGCCTCCTTTTTTACTCTCTTTCAGTCTTCCTCATTCCTCTCTATCTGTTCTTTTTGTTTTTTTCTCTCTCTTTGAAATTGTAATATCCATTGAAGAGAGAGAGCATCTTCTCTGACTTTTATCTTCTTTTTCTAAAGAGGCTAAAGATCAAGAATCTGGTAACTGTTTTGTTTTGTTTTTCTTTTCTCTTTGAAATTGTCATCCCATTGAAGAGAGAGAGAGAGAGAGGGAGAGCTCCTTCTCTGACTTTGTCTTCTATTTCTAAAGAGGCTAAGGATCAAGAATTTGGAAACTGATTTTGGGTTTTGGTGGGTTTTTGATTTTGTAAGAGATTAATTAAGAGACTTGAAGGATGTTTGGGTTTGGGTGTGAGTGTTTTTACTGGAACCAACTTACTGAATTGGACTTTCCTGAGCCAGAACCAGAACCTTTCTCTTTGCCTGCTCCAATTCCTGAATGGCCTCAAGGTATGGCCTTTTAGCCTCCCAAAAAGAAGTCTGCAGTAGCTTTTTTTTTTTTTTTTTTTTTAAAAAAGAAGTACTGCAGTAAACGCTTTTTTATTTTTATTTTTTTTTTTTTCTTAAAAAAAGAAAATTTTTTGAAGGTTAAATTTCTAGTTTTTTTTTTTTTTTTTTTTTTTTTAAAAAAGAAAATTATTTTGAGGTTTAAATTTCTAGTTTGTTCTTTTGGTTATTGATGGTATATGATCAGGGGATTCTTGTTTGAAATTTGATTGAGTTTTCTTTGTTCTTTAATTGGGGTTTGAGATGCTAATTATCAGTATATCACTTGTAGAGGTATTTGATTTTGGCCATATCAGTGGATCAACCAACAACTAAATCAGGATCTGATAATTTTGGCCATATCTTTGTCAAAATATATTTTGTTTTTTTTTTTTTTTAAAAAGACTATAATATTTGAAAGCTTAAAGTTGGTTGTGGCCAATTCATATGGATTTGCTTTTAGCTTTCTATCATGTTTTTGGTGAAGATGGATAGTTTCACATAATGCTTAGCCAAAAATTTTGGGTGAAACAATAAAGATAGTGAAGAAGACTCTTAAATTTAAAACCAAGAAATGGAATGCTATAAGGATTTTTTTTTTTTTCCCATTTAGATTTGCTTCCTGGCAATCTTAAGAACTATATCAAATCAATTTGCCTTAAATTCTTTAAATTTTAGTATTTTCCAGACTATATTTGTTCGAGCACATTCATGAACTTGGTCCAAGCTTAGAGAATCTGGGATGCCTTGAAAGCTGAGGCTTGCACGACATTTGACACTTTTCAAAAAAAAAAAAAAAAAAAATTAAAGCTTTAATGCTTACAACATCATACTTATCTTTTCCTTCTTTTCGAGGGGATGGAATCTATATTTTACTTTTAGTTTCTTTAATGTTCCCAAGTTTTATGTCTTTGATTGTCTTTTAGGATGGATGCTACATTTTTGGGTTTTCTTTTATTTTTTTTTATTTTTTAACAATTCATAGAATTGGAAACATCTGTTTTCCAAAGTGTAGTATAAGAACTGTATCATCAATTCTAGTTCATGGACTCGAGGGAAAAAAAAAATTAAGTTGATGGGCAGTTTAAATATTTTTTGCTCATTGCAAAGCATGCTGTATTGGTTTTTTTATGATTTTAGAGATTATCCATATATTGGTTGAGTATTGGTTGAGTTTGAAACTGAAAAACACTCAACTTTCGATTTATTTATTGGATCATTTAATTAACCCATGAATATACACCTGAACTATACTTTTGATGCCTGCATTATTCTATTTTCCAATTATGACTTTGCTTGCAGATGCCATGAATCAGCTTGCTTATGAGTGGTGTGCTTTTGTGTCCTCAGGTAAAGGATTTGCTACTGGAAGTATAAACCTAGGAGAACTAGAAGTCTTCAAAATTAACCAATTTGAGAGAGTTTGGAGCTGCAGCTTGTTGCGTGGAAACCAGAAAGGAGTCACATTTTATAGACCTGTTGGGATCCCTGATGATTTTTACTGCCTTGGCCACTACTGTCAATCCAATGACCAACCATTGAGAGGGTATGTTCTTGTTGCTCGTGACACCAATATTCAGAAGCCTGAAGTTGGCCAATTCAGTGGCCCAAAATCAGACTCTCCAGCTCTAAAGAAGCCCCTTAATTACTCATTGGTTTGGAGCACCAGGCCACAGGATAATGGTAGTGGTTACTTTTGGTTGCCAAACCCCCCAACTGGTTATAAGGCTATGGGCGTTGTGGTTACCACCAGCCCAGAGGAGCCTAATGTTGAAGAAGTTAGGTGTATTCGGGCTGATCTTACAGAAAAATGTGAAACTTTTAAGCTAATATTTTCCTCAGATTCAAAAACTTACAAAGAACAATTTCGTGTATGGAACATAAGACCCTGCAGAAGGGGAATGTTTGCTGAAGGTGTTTCTGTTGGAACATTCTACTGTGGCACCTACTTAAAATCTGAAGATGATTTGCTAGATGTTGCATGCTTAAAGAATTTTGACGACGCACTAAAAGCGATGCCAAATCTGGACCAGATTCATGCACTCATTAAGCACTATGGCCCTACTGTATTCTTCCATCCGGATGAAGAGTACTTGCCATCATCAGTCCAGTGGTTCTTCAAAAATGGAGCACTTTTATACCAAGAAGGCAAGCAGAAGGGTGAACCAATTGACTATAGGGGTTCGAACTTGCCTAGTGGAGGGTCAAATGATGGGGAATATTGGATAGATTTGCCAAATGAGGATGATGCAAGAAATAATCTCAAAAGAGGAGATTTAGAGAGTGCTGAACTTTATGTTCATGTGAAACCAGCATTAGGAGGAACTTTTACTGATATTGCGATGTGGGTATTTTGTCCCTTTAACGGACCAGCCACCCTGAAAGTGGGTCTAATGAGCATACCTATGACCAAGGTTGGGGAACATGTTGGTGACTGGGAGCACTTCACACTGCGTATAAGCAACTTCACAGGAGAACTATGGCAAGTCTTCTTCTCTCAGCACAGTGGTGGTCAGTGGGTGGATGCATCTGATTTGGAATTCATAGGAGGTAATAGGCCAGTTGTTTATTCATCAAAGAACGGTCATGCTAGTTTCCCTCGCCCTGGCACTTACCTTCAAGGGTCAACAAAGCTTGGAATTGGAGTGAGGAATGATGCTGCTAGAAGCAAATATTATGTGGATTCAAGCCAAATGTATCAGCTTGTTGCTGCAGAGTATCTTGGCGATGGAGTTGTCACAGAACCATTTTGGTTGCAGTTTATGAGAGAATGGGGTCCAACCATTTTGTATGACTCACGATCCGAAGTAGATAAGATTATTAATCTCCTCCCGTTCTTTGTTCGGTTTTCGGTAGAGAACATCTTTGACCTTTTCCCAACAGAGCTTTATGGTGAGGAGGGGCCAACTGGACCGAAGGAAAAACGAAACTGGTTGGGAGATGAAATATCTGGTTGAATTTGCTGCATGTGAATTCTCATTGCATATTATTGTCTCACTTTCTTTACTGCCTGGTTATGTTGATAGAGAGTTCAGCGAAAACACAGGTATCTGCAGTTGAAATGTCAACTGTAGCATGCTCTTCTTGTTGTACATGCAAGAAGGCCATTTTTCCTCTTCATGTATGCTTTGCCTTGTGTTACAAGCATCAAGCAATCCTGTGTAGATATGAAGGTTGCAGGTGAGGTGCATTTGCGCTAAAGCCAAAACGAGAAGAAATCAACATAATTGGTTGCCAACATTGGCTTATACTGTCATTTGAAATGTGTACTGCCTCTAGTATTAGTATTCTATGTACTAAGAAATATTGATGCTTGACCATGGAGTGAGGTGTTTTTAGAAGTATTAAACGCTGTCAAAAAGAAATTTGCAATTTTTTTTTTGGGTTGCACCGCCAGCAATTTTGGTTCGATGATTACTATAGTTACAGCATAAGAGATCCGAAAGGGAAGTTAAAAACGCGTATCAACATAAGTTCTGTAAGTGTCAGTTTTGGTTACACACCAAGAACAATGGAGTTTGGCTTTCAAGAATTACACATTAGATATCGTTTAATCTGAAATTTACAAAGGATTAACACCCTCTGGACTCTGGTATAAATTTACAATCAATCACCCACCCAAAAATTCCAACTCTTGTTGGATAAACAAAAATGACAAATAGTAGGTAATTGCTAATACCTACTGAAATAAATGACATTGATACATCAGCTGCCCTTCACAATAATAATTATAAATTACATTTGAAATCACATGTATGAACAAACACAGATGACAGCATTCTTCAGCGTGCCATCTTGCCATCTCTGTTAAGATCCTCCCAGCTAATCTCCTGGGCACATTCCCCACATACGGTAGTACAGCCGACTTTAGTTCCCTGACTTCTAAGAGTCAGCAAGTGAGAAAGATTAGTGCATTTCCGATGCACTGTTCGACTTCTTAAGATGCCCTTGGAAGATGCAACAATGGAACAGGAAGTCTCAGGAGTAGGAGGGGCAGCCATGCTTGATGTAGGCAGGTTGCCTGGATCAGGTACAGATGGAACAGCATTTGGCATGGGTGGCCTTCGATCAAATGTGGATTCATCAAGAGAAACTCGCTGCACTTCCTCCCATTCTAATGATTTCCTATATACTTCCCAAGCCATGTCTTGCTCCTCCTTAGTCAGTTTTTCCTCTTCATTCTCTTGCAAAAGAGTCTCGTGTTCATGATAATTGGCAATCCACCTAAATGAGAGTCAATGAATCAGGTACCATTTTCATGTCAAATTCAGTCCCCACATTTCAGAAAGACTATAATTCTCAAACTCCAAATGCAGAAAGAAAATCATAACCGAGCAATGGAAGTTAAAATACAGAACATAAATATATCAGGGCCCTATTATTTATTCAAGAAAATATACTCGGTCAAACAATACTAAATAATCCCAGTTTTCCTTTTTTGAGAAGAAAATAATTCCAATTTTCAGTAACGTGTGAAAGTCGAGGTGAATCCAGATAAGAAAAGATTAGAAAAATGAACATTGAAGAGAGAGAGAGAGAGAGAGAACCTCGGATGGTGCTTGCCAAGTAATCTCTCCATTAACTTGTCAGAAGAGCAGCTTCCATGAGAAAGAGGCAAATTCTGTTTCAGTGAAGTTCCAACTTGGCAGCTCATGTTCTGGTCATCTGTTTGTCTAACTTCTTGTCCAAGCTCAATTTGAGGGTCAGTATTCTCATCATCACCAAATTCAAAGAGGTGCAACATTTCTTCTCTAGAAATAGTCCTATGTATTTGTTGTCTATCAACTACCCTTGCAGCAAGCCCCTCCTTAGTCACCTGTTTAAACCCTTCTATTCATCAAAATTCCCAGAGAGAAGGCAACTGATTCAACATCAATTCTTATTCCATTACCTGACGCTTATAGATTTTTTCTTCCATAGTTCCATGTGCCATCAATCTGTAAGCAAACACTGGCTTTTTTTGGCCATACCTGAAAAGTTGGAAATATTTCTGTTATTTTCAATCATATGATATAAATGCTTGATTTTCCAATTAGAAGAAAATCATTAGTCAAACCAACCTCCAAGCTCGATAAATGGCTTGAAGATCATAGGTTGGATTCCAAGAACCATCGACAATAACTACACGGTTAGCAGCATGAAGATTAATCCCTAGAGATCCAGCTCTCGTTGATATCAGAGTGCATTTGACTCTTTTATTCTCAGGATCATTAAACTTCTCAACCATTCTTTGCCTTTCAGAACTCTCTGTTCTTCCATCTAGCCTGTTGGGTAAATCAAAGAAAATGAACTTTACAATTTCTTTTTATTTCAATTCCAAATAATCTCATGTCCATATTGAGATCTTTAGTAAAAAACAAAGGACTCCTGGATAGTCAAAGGTGAATGGCAATAAGCACCCACCTGTACCAGTCTTTTCCTTTTCTCCAAAACTTCCCCTTTCTTCCATGTCGAGGCAATCTTGAAAGATAAAATTCAATGAGATCTAAGGTGGGTATGCTCTGGCTAAAAACCAATGCCTTATCACCCACCAGAGAACACATGGTTAAAATGTCAAGCAGCAATACCATTTTGCCACTGTAATCAAGTTCTTTATAATTATTTCCATGAAGAAGATCATTCCACCAATCCTGGAAAATTCCATCCATCAACAAGATGATAGGGAGAAAGGAAGTATATATTGAAAATGAACATGTTGGAATTCAGAGGATATTCAGACAGTGAGGCACGTATATAATTAGATAATGGTTAAAAGCCATACCAAATGAATGCATATCTTAGTAGTAACAGAAACCCCTTTTTTTTTTTTTTTCAAAATTGTATGAGCAGATATGTTTACATCACTAGCATAATTTGTCGCATACATACCTTTCGAAAAAATCCATTATCATTTTTCCCTTGCATAAAATCATAAGCATTCCTTGGCTTCTCTGTTGAACATTGAACACAATCATTAAACAAACGCACAGAGATGGACACAAGATTATGGAAGAGGGACGGAAATTATACAATGTATTGCAAACACAAGCCAAACAGAAGTATTATGAATGACAAAAGCCACAGCATGCCAATATGCACTTAATACAGCAGAAGCATTTCTACAGTCCATCCTCCCTTGAGTTCTGCATGCCTTAGACTTTTTTTGGTTAGATCTTATGAAAACAGCCATATGGCAGCCACTTATCCAGTAAATGAACATCCTTTCAAGGAATACAAAAGCTTTAAGAATTAGATTCTAATAGGTTCATAGGAAAGCAAAAGCATAAAGTTTAGCCAATGGTAAATTAACTCAAAAAATAATTAGCAACAATTCACAACAATAAAAAATAATTCAACCTCTAAATCAGTATGTCCAGAACGTATCCAGCATGTACAATTATCAGCACATCAAAGAAATTGAAAAAAAAAAAGAAAGAAAGAAAAGAATGGTAAAAAAATGAAGGCGTACCTCCAATAATTGTATTATAATCTACATTTTCATCACTAGAACTTTCATCTGCATTAAAATTCTCAACAGTTTCCTCACGACTAACGTAATCTTTATCTTTTCTGAGTTGAAGAATCCCAGGATGGTTCCATATCTACCGACAACAGTAAAGTTGTCAGTAAAATAAGCAGGCAGAGAAAAAGATAATTGATTTAAAGTATAATAATATAATGTAACAGCGTGTATCAATGACTGAAACAGATCGTTAAAATCTTTGCTGTTAAAGCCACTAGTATACTCCTTATTTTACCAAACAGTTAGTAGACAGCATCTTTATTTGATCTTCCAGCCAGATCTTTAGAAAGAAAAAGACACTTCCTTTTCTTTGTTTCAAGTTCCAGAAAACATTTTATCAAAGAGAAGTTCGATTGCCTCTTCATTTCAAGATTTCTCACAGATTTTTCCATCCATAACTTGATTCAAAGATTCTTTGCCAGATGAGGTAATTATTACAACGTTTTTTTTCTCCCAGTAAAAGTACTAATTTGTTGCATCTTTCTATCGATTCTGGTTAATTAAGCTATTGATTTTGAGTGATTTTGCTATTTTTACCCTTTTTAAATAATCATAGTGCAGTAAGTGCCAACTGCAAGGAACTTACCCTGGCACTTCTGCAATCTCAATTTAAAACGCCACATGCATATATCTGGTAAATAAAGTAGCACAGGAAGTGTTGAAACTTCTGTTCTTCTATGTATATAAATAAACAAGCTAAGAAACACAACATCATAATTGAAAACACACCTGAGCTAATGCCTGGTATCCAGCAAAAAAACTCTTCCTTATCTTTTCACTGGAAACCTTGTCATTTGTGAATCCATGCACATCGAGGAACCTCTTGTATAACTTCCTTTGCAAAGGAGAAAGCTTTACAGTTATTACAAAGACAGTTTTAGGTGGCAGGTCCTTCTTCACCACACTCATGTCCATTCTTTGCACAAATCCTTTTAATTGTTCATAAAGGATATGTGACCTTTGATTCATAATTTTCACATCATATGCAGTTGAATTAGTATGTTGTCCATTCTCTATAGGGTTTTGGAAACTGCAACCAAGGCAAACATAATTAAGAGAAAACAAGTAAAAGGGTGACAGTAACCACAACAGTCTAGGGAAGAAGTCTTGCCGGTTCCTAAACTCATGGCTGCTACCAAGAAAACCTTCTCTTACAAAATCAACCATCTGTGCAACACATAAATACAATCAAAGACCCAGCAAACAGAAAAATAAGAATATATTCAGTTTGTTTACAAACTTACACAATAATACTCCATTAGATTGTTCTGAAGAGGTGACCCTGTTAATGCAATCCTCCTTTGGCATTTCACTTGCTTCAATGCTTGAGTTGTATCTGCTCTGGTGTTCTTAATCATATGGGCTTCATCACAAACAAGTATATCGGGTCCATCCTGACAATTGAAAAGAAATCTCATGAACAAATTGAACATTTAAAAGCACCAATTGAAGATCTATGATTAGTCTTGTGGATCCAAAGTAACAACCATATGAAATGGCCGAAGTCCAATATTTACAAAAATGGTACTCTGACAAGGGACGTGGATTAGAATATAAAAAAGCTCCATAAACTTACCTGCAGGCATGCAAAATATAGCTAAACCTACATTACATAGATTCTGGTATGGGTTTCAGGAACAGTTGTAAGTTTGAGCATCTATCCTACGAACTTTGCCCTTTCAACAGATCTAGTGGCCATACCAGTACAATTAAAAGCAGAAAGTATTCAACAGCTTTTAGAAGCTTTTTGAAGGCTTAAGTTCAGAAATTTGAGAAAAAATATGTACTGAGAAGAGGTCAATTTCAGGTTGTTTTTGGACAATTTCTTTAACAAAGGAAAGGCTGATCATATTATAATTACAGGTACAAGCAGAGCTCACTTTTTCAAGATGGTGTGATTTTCAATAACTTCAATACAGTTGATAAAGAGAGGGTATATACCATATAAACAACATTAAGCTCACTGTAATACCAAAATTTGATTTTCCTTTCTTTCATAAGAACTGTGTATTTCCTGCCTACGAAGACTCAAATTTGAAGAAATTAAAATAATAACAAGTATGATAATAATAATTTTTTGAGGGCTTACTCTTCGAGGGGCATTCAGAGCAGCGGCTTTATGCATTATTCAGCATACCAGGTGTTCTTTACTTTTCTACCTTTCCCCTTCTCAAATGTCGTTTATACTTATGTCTTAATTAGAGTGTGATGATTGCTTGTCCTTCCTATTACAATTCTCTCTCTCCCATAATAAAACTCTTTTTAAGGGGTCAATGGGAAAAACACAAATGGGCAGTGGTGGTGAACAAGGGAACAAAATTCAAATAGAATCCAACACAATTGACAAATATACACTTTCCTCCAACAAGTTCATTCACTAAAAGAACGTCTCATGCTCCTTGCTATCAATAAAAAACTCTTACTTCAAGGAGCATTTGACTTAAATCCAACAATACCAGTGGTCCAGCAGATAATGATTCAAATCAACCATTCTATGAATACAGTCTAGTTATGAACTGAAAAAGTCACAAGCACACAAGAGTTTTCCTTCCCCCCCCTCCCCGCCCAAAAAAAAAATAAGAAGATGAAAATTTGCTAGTATTGATGCATAAAGTATCATTTGTACCCACGATTTTTCACATATTGTATTTTATCCAGGCAAAATGCAATGACTAGTGTGTGTGTGTGTGTGTGTACAGCTCTTTTCTTTTGGCACAAAAATGAAAACCCAAGAAGAACAAATTGGTTTCATATTTGGGAAATAAAGATTCATCAACGCAGTGAGTTTGAAACCAAACAATGCACATGAAGCGTACAAGTGACTAAAATCCTTAATTGATGTAGCTGTGCTGAGTTCCAGGGAACATGACAGTTACCTGCAAAGCATAACAAAGTTCCCTAGCCATGTTTCGATCCTTGACATTCTTTCCAAAAGATAAGTTTCGAAAAGCAGTGTAGCCAATCAGAAAAACACCACCCTTAGCTCTCCATTTTGCAAACAACTCCACTCTTCTCTCCCTAATGGCAACAAACACATCAGTGTAAAATTTATTTTTCTTCATATAACCAAAATAGAAAAAAAGAAAAGAGTATATCATTAAACCTTGATACATCTTCCAGCATAAAAACACGGAGGGGTTTGACTTCTGAAGGCCTCCACTTCATGAACTCCTGCCGCCAATTATGAAGCACATTCACAGGAGTAACAATAAGTGCAGTTCTTAATCCCAAATCAACACTTCTCATAGCAGTGTACAGGAAAGCTATGACCTGCAGATGGAATTTGCCAATCAGAAAACTGCATGTTGCAACCAAGTGGTAAGACTGGGAGTGCAAGGACCAAAGTTCACTTCCCTCCACTGCCAGCATCACCATTGATAAATAAAAACAATGGATCCACAACTATTGGTAGTTTATATTATAGAAACATGGTATTATTCTGACCACCAAATAAGTGGAGACATAGCCGTGATTATCAATGAATAGAGACAAGAGAGGCTGGGTAGGCTTGATGATGCTGAGGTTATTTTGTTTATCAGCTTCCAGTACCTCTGCTTGCTTCTCTGTGTGTGTGTGTGTGTGTGTGTGTCCTATCTACTGGCACTGCATCTTCATTTTCTCTTCTTTACTCCTCTCTTTTACTTTTAGAGTTATAAGAGCTTTTAAGTTCGTTGGAGTTAGTACATTATTGTATGTTGAATTAGCTGCTTATTTTGTGGGAAGTATGCTACATAAAGGTTATGATGGCAGTCTATTTGCTTTAATATGGTCACTAACTGTATTTTTGGAGTTGTAGATGCAAGTGTCCATGCTGTTTTTTTTTTATTTATCATTTCGTCTATATCTCAGGGTCTATAGCAGCTGATTATTAACAGCCAAAAAAGAAAGGCAAGCAGCAGAACTTGGTACCTGAAAAGTTTTTCCCAGGCCCATTGTATGAGCTAAAATGCAACCAAGACCTCTATCTCCAGATTTTACTTTCCCAATTGACTGAACAATGTTCTCCCACATAAATCTTATCCCTGCCACCTGCAATTTCAAATTAGCTTTAGAAAAAGAACTTAACAACACATTTGAAAGTAATGACCAAAGACCAGAATCATAAATGAGCTTTAAATATCAATAATGAACCTCCATCAAGGGACTCATTTCCCACATTGGGCACATAATTCCCCTCATTGAAATAGCAAAAGAGATAAAGGGCTAAATTCCTGAATCATCACTAAAATTTAAATTTTAGAAGTGGTGAGGAAGCTGAGAATCAACCAACATCATTATTGTTAGGGCTCAAGAAGCAGAAAGATATCATAATGAAACAATATCTTAAACAATTTGGCTGGGAAAAAGTAACAAAAACTACACAGTGTTAAGAACTCCACAAGTATAGAAATAAAACCTGATGGGCTTTCAATTTAGCTGATATGCTTGGAGGAATCCTCACAGCCTCTTCACCTTTTTCCCTCACAACATTCACTATATAACCTGTGGCAGAATCGCCAAGTACTTCAACAGTAGCACCTTCAGGTAAGTTTCCATTGCAGCTTGCAGATTTCATCACCTTGGATTTGCCAGTAAACTGTACTTTCAGTGACTTCAAACGTTCTTGACGCTCCTAAATATGATGCAAAATTTTGATAATTTAGTGCTTAAATACTTGATTTGACTGAATACATTATCAAACATAAGACACCTTTTCAATTGCAATTTTCTTCTGGGTCTCTTCTCCTAATTCAGCATCATCAAGAATCCTCCGTATCTTCTTCTTCTTCCTCCTCTTACTGCTGATACAAAAATGATGAGATTTGAGAATTATAAATGATAAGGCTCATACCTTAGACAAACAAAGAAAGTAATAACTATGAACATCAATCTCATAAGCAATTATTATGTACCTGATTGCAGCAATGTTTGTATCTGCATCAGAGTCCTCTGATTCACTATCAGAGCTTGTATCCATTAGATCTCCTGATCCCATGGCTATCTCCAATTCAGATGTCAATCTTTGTAGCTGACTGGGTAAGCAACAACAACATTGCCAGCCAGAAGCTTGTGCCTTAGACAAGCAGTCTTCACCAATATTCCTTTTTATACAAGTGGTACAGAATAATACTTTGCATGACTTGCAACTTACTAAGTCATTGCTTCGTCCACACCATCCACAATAGCATTCAGAACACTCAGAATCCTGCAACAACTAATTAGCTCAACGAAACTCAAATGTCTTAAAAAGACAAGGACCCTTATCTAAAGAAAAGCTACCAAGTAATCAACAACAATGGATTTTTGTAGGCTACTTAGAAGGACAAGCAATTATAGTAACGGAAACAACAACAATCAACTAGTGATGCAGCAATCAAAATACTCCAGGTAAGTGGGTCAAGCAGTTTGCTTCCAAAAACTTCAGTAATTTCCCAAAATATTGAGCTTCAGCAAACAAGAAAAAAAGTAGTATTCATGAACATTACACTCCCTGAAATTTTTTTTTTTTTTTAAAAAAGGAAAGGCTTGAGTTTGCTGCAATGTACTATGAGTAGATCACCCCAAATAAAAATGCTTATTTCCTCATGTCTGTGTCTCATGGTTTTAACACACAAACATGACCAAGAACCTCATAGTGTGCTCCATTCATCCACCAATCATTTTTAACCTTAGTATCTTTGTTACTCATAAAAGCAAGCATAAGTTTTCCAGTAAGTACATGAAGATTGTATGTTGGTCAGTCAATAAACTAATTCCAGGGCATGTTGGAAGAAAAAAATATTCCCCACATATGAAAAGAGTACCCAGCAAAATTTTATTAGTGTACACCAATATTATCAAAACTATAACATACCAATAGAAATTTAAGTGTGCATATATGGTGATTTAAAAATCATAAGTCACTGTTGCCTATGTGAATTAACTTAATTATGATATTAGATATTATTAAAATCCGTACCTTCACATGCATCTTCTCCTCCATTAGACATTTGCAATCTTTGCAAATAATTACTTTCAAAAGTGGATGCGAATGCACTTCCAAAGCAATTTTATTGCAGGCAGTACATTGAAATTCCTTGTTCACACCCTGTGAAAGATGGCCATCAGCACCAAAGTCCCCACTGTTTTCTGGCATAGTTGACTCATTCTCCACTTTAGTGGCAGTTGAAACTGATTTATCTATCCCAACATCTTCATCATCACTGTCTATGATAACAGGCCGAATCCTTTTAGCGTCAATTTTTGGTTCCTCGCTCTCATTTGGACGCTTCGACCTTCTGTGTTCAATGACATCAGGTTCAGAAAACTCTGAATTGCCATTACTAGTTGGTTGTTCCACATCCAAGTTCTTAGAACTTTCAGACACATCTTTCTTCGAATTTTCATTTGCAAACTCGTTAGGGTTACTCGATACATCTCCCCCATCTTCATGAGTTTTCTCATTAGAAATGTCACTCAGAGGCAGCAGATCATCTACGTTACCTTCCATTACCTGATCAACAGAATTGAGTTCTTTTATTAATGGCAGCCTAATTCAATAATCCAATGAGAGCTCTAAATGAAAGGTATCTATATATATATATATATATATATATATATATTATATTAATATCCAATAGAGCTCTAATTGGAATGTAAATTATTTGAAAAGGATGTCCAATTTTACAGTAACCAAGCACATTCTTGAACCACAATCACTCAAAAAACCAAGACCCTTTTGAACTGAAAATGTTAGATAGAAAACCATACCGAGTTATAATATTCTTGATAAGACCGCACCAAAATTGCTTTGGATAATTCATTTAAAGGTGGAAAACAAAAGAATGAATCTACGATTCTATCAAGTACAGATAACCATACAAATGATCACGCATGACAAGTTTGAGTTCTATTATTCAATTATACCAATTGTGAAGCCAGAACCCACAAATTAAAAAATTTAGAATTGGAATCTAAACCAAATCAATGAACAAAACCAAAGTGCTAAGAATCAAGACCTGTTTAGATCTCTTACGATGCCTCCTCTGCTTCAAATGAAGCTGAAGTTTTTGATCAATTCTTGCATCATCTTCCTCTTTGACCTTTGAATGTACAAAGATAAGAACCATACAAATTCAGATATTGTCTGCGCATACAATCAAAAGAAAACTGGACAATCACTATTATAAACTAACAAAATATAAGTTGCATGAAGTCCCAATAGGTCTTAATATTCAAGAGTGCATCAAGTAAACATGTGCAAAAAAATGAAACAAGATACAAGTTGATGAGATCATAGGTGAAACAAGCAGGCATTTTATTTTATCATAAGAAGAAGCAGATAGACAGATGAAAATCCATTCAATATTACCACAAGGCAGATGCTTAAAAAGGAAAAAGTATAGCTGCCATTACCAGATAAAATAAAATATTCATCCATTGCTTTCTTGTAAACTTAATTGCTGTCAAGAAAAATGTTAACAAGCAAAAAAAAAAGATCTATTAATATTAAAAGTTCCACAGAAGTGACAGGGATCCAATATTATTGCCAAATGCACTACATGACCAATTAAATAACAATCTAGACAGAAGGGCTATCCAGCAACAAGCCACAACAAGTGCATGTCTGGAGATCCCAAGACTAAAGAAAATTCCATTCACCCACACAATAGGTTTTTCAAACTTCACAGATGCAACTAGACAGCATTTGGACCAACATGATTGTTAATAACCTTAAATGTAATTTTGTTCAAATAGAGGCACACAGCACACCAAACAAAATAAGTAATCCTTTTCAGCATTAAGATTAGAAATCAACATTAGTTAGCTTGAAATCAGAACTTGAGGAATGATTGATACAAACATGGAGCACAACAACATTAACAAACCTTTCGATAATTTTTTCTTTGTTCCTCGGAAAGAAGTAGTTCCTTCTCGTTTGCTATGGCATCAGCAATGAATGGATCACTGGAACTACCATCGATGTCTTCAATTTCCTCAACCTGAGGAAGATCACACGTCAAAAAACTAGATAAGGTCAAGATGGCAACTAAGGAACCATCCTTTCGAAATTTGCATGCTTCATCAATTTGAGATACAAATTAATATCACAAAGACATTACTGACTGGTTCAGCTAAAAGAAAGCCAAGTAATAAGAAACAGTAAAATTCTAGCCTATTTCGTAAAGTTAATAGCAAACCACTGACATATTAAGGAACTAAATATTTTTATTTCTGAAACAGTAAACCAACAGAAGAGCTCCCAGGTTTGGAAATGAGATAATTTGTCGGTGTGTAGTAACTGAATCAGAATAGTTTTTATATGCAACAAGCCTTGGCAAAAATCCTGGTAGGCTGGGATTTGGGTAGAGGAATTGTTTATTTGTTTGGATCTTAAGTCTATGTTCAGACTTCTGACAGTCTTCTCTTTTTAATGATAAAAGAGCAAACACAGAAAGGAAACAAGGAAATTATCACCATAATAGAAACCCAAAAGGAAAAATTGCTTTCTAACAAGCACAGAGAAATTGACATCTTGGACACAATTAATGGAACATGATACAGAATTAGTTGCTACACAGTTGATAAAAGCTTAGGATAAAAAGGAGTAGGAATCAGAAATGTCACAAGTTTTAAATTAAGCATCAGAATTAAATATCGACCTCATCGACTCCAGGAAATTTGAGCCCCATCTCTGCAGCTTCATGGGGAGTGTTGGCCAGGTAGACAGAAGCCCAATACTTGCTACCAAATGAAGCAACATCCTTACCAATTCCCCCTGATAATAGTTTCTTGAGAGAGTCCCAATCAACATCTCCATTTTCAGCCACCTCTCCCTTGCTTCCATCTGTAGAAAGTTTTTTCTCCAGAAATCCACTAGCACCTTCCTCCAATAGTTTCCCATGCCGTCTGAACACACAACATGGATCCATTCAATGAACTTCTAAGACTGCAGATTCACAATGTAAAACATGAACCAACATACCTTCTTACAGGCCTGTGGCTTTGGAGATACTTCTCAGCATCAGCTACTACCTCTGTAACTTCACTGGTCACATGAGATCCTACCCAGTGCGCCCTTCTTTTCCAAGCTTCAGTATGGCAACCATTTGGAGTCTGACTTTCAATCCACTTATACAGGCTTGGTAGCTCGATGCCAGCCCCATCAAGTTGCTCCTGTTAAGAGAAAATTGTAAATGAAAGACATAAAGGGGGGAAGGACAACCACATATCCAACAAGAAATCATCAGTGAGTTGAGTTAATTGCACCTGACATAAGAAGAATACAGTTCAACGAATATAATTGTAATAATGGCTCATTAAAATATGTTTATCATCATCCAATATTTATCTCATTGACCAAAGGCAACAATCAAATTATAAAAATGAGGTGGATACTGAAGAGAGAAAAACCATAGAGGTCATTGTTAGGCAATGTTGAGGATAAAGTTGAAAACGGGTTTATAGATAAGGTTGGACAAGTAACCAAGAACTTAAATCCATATCAAAAGAAGAAGTATTCATTTTAACTAGGGGTGTCAAAATGGGTCATGACACACGAACACGATTCGTCTAACATGCAAAATAAACGGATTAGAGTTGAGGTTAAACGGGTTCGTATCATAAACGGGTCACCCATTTATGACACGAATATAAACGTGTCGTGTCACGGATTGATACGCGAGTTAATCGAGTAACCTGTTTATTTTAGGGTGAAGAGATAATTTTAGTGTCAAATAAAAACACCCAACTAAAACCCTATTTACAATTTATTTTTGTATTAATTTTTTTATTTTAGTTATGAATCTTGGAAAATCTATACATTTTATATATAAAATTTTATTTTTAAATATGATTTGAGTTAAATAGAGTGGTTTATATACGGGTCAATACGACCACTTACCTATTTTTGATATTAAGCGGGTTTAATTTTTTTATTTTAGTTATGAATCTTGGAAAATCTATACATTTTATATATAAAATTTTATTTTTAAATATGATTTGAGTTAAATAGGTTAAAATTTAAAAATATCATAAGCAGGTTAAGTGGGTTATATACGGGTCAATACGACCCACTTAACCTATTTTTGATATTAAGCGGGTTACATGGGTGGTATACAGGTCAACACGACCCACTTAACCTATTTATGATATTAGGCGAGTTACATATGTCGTGTTCGTGTTACCTGCTTAATTTTCATGTCGTGTTCGTGTTGAGAAATTTGACACAATTATTAAATGGGTCGTGTTCATGTTGACCCTAATCATGTTACGTGTTAGGCGAATCTGTGTCTAACCCGACACGCCAACCGATTTTGATACCCCTAACTTTAACATCACAAGGAGGGGCACAAATGATTATAGCCTCAAGATACATGAAGGCGCAGAAATTTATAATAAGAACCAAAGATTTTACTCAAATTGAAGGAAGAAGCAAACCAACAAATGAGCACTTTCAGTCTCGAGCTCATCCAGCACTGTCTCCCACTCCTCCTTGAAGGTAGTCATCTCATCTTTGACTGCTGCTTCCAGCTAACATTAAACATAACAAAATGATTGGGCAAATTCATAAAATTCAAAGAAAGGTAAACAATGAAAAAAAGAACTAACATCATCACGGTGAAGCATTTGTGCCAACTCCTCTCTCACATCATTTTCCACCTTGGAAAGTGATTCCTGTTCGAGTGCCTCTTGAGCCTCTGCAGCCTAAAATGAGAATCAGCTAACCTTCTAAAACAGACTAACAAAATGGAATGTTGGAAACTAAGCAAGAAAAAAAAGCCGATGATACCTTGCTCTCAACTTCTAAGAACTCAGCAACTAGCTCTTCTATTTCTTGCTCAGTTAAAGGTTCCTGTAAAATGAAGACAAGAACAAAATGAACTCCAAAGAAAGGTCCACAAAATTTAAGCATACACAAGCAGTGAGTAATATTTATTGTTAGTATAAGATCTTCATCATGGGCTCCCAAAGTGTATGATTACTAACTTAAGCTTATGTTTTTGTTGTTATTTTTTTATTTGTGTTGCTGTTGTTCTTCCGTTATAGGCCCATTTGTCAAGCTAAAACCATTTTCTACATTAAGTGCAACGTAATTGTGTTTGTGATCATTTTGTAGTTCCATATTTGTTAAGAGTGAGTTGTTGCTGACCTAACATAGTCGGTGTTATTGGTGAAACTGTCAAATAGTTTAAACTTTTGGAATAGATACTTCATATGAATTGAAGGCAATGTGACCAAAAACATGTTTAATACCCTATGAGCATGAGGAAGAGGAAAACAAAGAAAAAATGTAGAAAAAATCTTCAATCCTTGCCTCAACATGTATTCCATCATCTTGTCCCGATTCGGATGGCTCATCATCATCATCATCATCAGGATGCATTCCATCATCTTGTCCAGATACAGATGGCTCATCATCATCTGAATCAACAATAAAAGAATCACCAGAAGCACTTTTAACCTCTTCAACTATCTCCTTTTTTTCATCCATCTTCCTCAAGTCACATCAGATGTACATTAGACCTCCAAAGAAGTAGCTTCAAGATGAAATCAATCATATCATTACTCAAACAAAGATAAAGCAGTGTCCACTGAGATCCTTTGCCAAAATAAAGCAAGCAAACCACCAAAAGAAACTAGGAAATGATGCCATACAAAATTAAACATTAGTAATCAAAGCAGTAAAGCAAGAACTCATACAGTAATATTAGTTCAAACATAATGATCAGACCTCAAAAAAATTTCTGCAAAGCCATTTCCCCACCAGGCAACTGCAATTATAAAACGCCATTACTTTCTCATTGTATTTGTAAAACTAAAATAAAAAAGGAAACTGCACTAATGACCTCAGCTCATGCACTTAATCTTGAGAACCCTTGTGGAGTACAAAGAGCTGACGGTTGGTCACTAGGACTTAAAAAGCACCAACAAGAACCAATTTCCTGAGCTTTTGGCAATCTACTGCATCTAAAAATGGAGAAGAAATTCTACAAAATTATAAACAAGGGTTTTCGTTGCAAGATTTTCACAAATCAATCTGAAAACAGTTAATCACACATTTCAAAGTATACAAATCAAATCCAACTGTATAACTCATGCTTTAAAACTTCCAAATGAAGCATTCTGTTTCAACTTTCGGAAGCAGTAAAAGCACTTATACTAAACTTAGCCAACTTTCCATTTCCCCGTATCTCGCACTAAAGAGCAACAAAAAAAGTTTAAGAGCATCAATCAAAAAATGAAACCAGTAAAACAATCAACCGATTCAATAAATTTTGACTCACGACCACTCAGAACCAAATTAAACAAGTAACAGAGGCACTTGGAATTCCAAATGACATTGAAATCGGCGAATAGGAATGGCGAGAGCGAGTTGGAGTTGGTGACTCACCGTAGAAGGTTAGGGCAGTGAGAGAATCGAATCCAGGTCTGGGTTTTTCAGCAGAGGGAGAAAAAGGAAATCTTTCTAATATTTTGGGGATTTTTTTATAAGAGAGAGAAAATTATTGGTAGGGTAATACACTGTGTTAGGTTATTTATTAGGTGGGTTTTTTCGTTATTTTTAGTTTCGGCGTGGAGTTTTTTGAAATTTTTAGTTTGATAGCCGGTGCTAATGTTCACGCATGTGGGACCCACTGCAACTGCACAATGGCCTGAGCAGCTTCCCCGGCAATTTTGCCCGCCCTGTTTTTTTCTTTTAATGAAATGGAAAATATGTTTAGATTTAAATTTCAAACCCGAAAATATAATCAAAAAGAAAATATGTTATATTATTATTATTATTATTATTATTATTATTATTATTACACACCAGTCATTTGATCAGAAAAAAAAAATGACTCTAGAACACTTTTTTTTAGAGTAAAAATTGTATTGTATTTTAATTAATTTTTCATTTAATAGTAATCATTTTTTGCATAATTTTATTCTATTACGAAGGTTGTTCTCTACCTCATATTTTAAAGGCTAGATGAAAAACTAATTTATTTTTAAACGAAAGCGATTGTATTAAAAATTATTCTCAATATGTTGACTCTACAGTTCGATCCTATAATTTTTATATATTTTTAATAATTATGCATATAATTAATTTTATTAAATCGTGTTAATATAAATGTACGTATATGTAATACAAATGCTAATAATACTAGTTTTGCAGAGTTATATGAAGTGTGGCATTATTAATTTTTGGTTCAATTACTTCTATTTATTGGAAGCTTTGGTTTGAAAATGAAATAAGAGATCAATCTTTGACATAGATAGTAATTGTTCCTTATTCAAATTGGAGGACAAATAGTTTGTTGTGATGATAATTGATTTATACCAAAGAGCTAAGTTATAAGAGTATGGTAAGAAATTTATTAGCAATTAGATAGTTGATTTTCATCCAAGTTGCATTCATTTTGTAAGGAATTCAGTTAGGAGGCATTGATAACTGATAAAAATTACGATGATTCTATCAGTTGCGCTAGAGTGAGTCTTTGTGAAACGAGTGGTAAAATCATCATTATGAAAATTATTACAGGTAGAATTTTAAAAAAGATGAGAGATTTTTACAACCATTGAAAATTTTCAGATGCTCTGAATTTGCGCATGGACACGTTTAATTGTGGAATTTAATCGATTGTTCACTTCAATTTAATTAGTAGTTTTTAGTATGAATGCAAAAAGAAATTTAAAATTTTTTTAGAAATAGACACATCTACACCCGTCCATGGGCCCACCCGAGCTTGAACATAAAAAGCCCGGTTTTAATGGATTTTTTGGATTGGCCCATTTTGGCTCAAAGCCTGCAGAGTCCGTTTTAACAATATTAGTATAAACAGTTAAACAAAACGAGCCGAAATAAGCTTTTGAGAGCTGTATTAATTTGGTTGGCATTGCATGTATTGAAAATAAAAATAATATTACATTAATAAAATCCAATACAATTAACAACATTCCTGCAAGTTATTTGAATTCAGTTAGAAGGATACCTTAATTATAACTTGAAATAATACCTTAAATATTAAATATTAAAAAGATACATTAATTGATATTTACACGGTGAAATCAATAAAAATATAAATTTTTTAATAAATACTGTAGAAGTTTTCTAATAATTGTTACTCATCTTTCACAGCCGTCGAACGACCGCTTGGTGTCATTTCAAATTGAAAGAAAACTTTTCCCTCGAAAACTGAAGGACAGGAAAACATTTCCTTGTCGTTTAAAAATAGGAGAGAAGTTTTTCCCTCAAAATTGAATCCGGGGTCGTATTGGGAATCTCATAATGACCGGGTTGAAATAAACCCGGGCGGCTATGAACCCGGTCATGCTCTCTTTTTATCTTCCATTTGAGCTCTACTGTCCGTTCTTGTTGCAGGCCTGAAAATGAAGCATTGTAACTCGCCCTCAATTTCATTCGCACTTTTTCTTTGAACTCTCATGGCTTCCATTTCCACTCTTTCTTTCTCTAATTTTTCTTTATCATTCAAAAACCCTTCATCACCGACCAGACATAAAATCAAAATCACAAAACTAAATTTTCAATCCCACAAATCCCATAAAAAGTTCCCATTTTTGCACAATTTTCGTGTTTTCAGCTTACTAGAAGCTTCAAAATGCTACAAGCATAACCGAGAATCGACACTAGAGCTACCCTCAAGTCCAGAAAAGGGCTTAATTAGATGCATTGCGAGATCAATAGTGTATGCACTATTTTGTATTTCTATTGGGTTTTGTTCACTTGGTGCATTGCCAGCTCAAGCAGCTGTTGGGTCGGTTACTAGTGAAGTTACAGTGAAAAAGGAAGAGAGAGAATTGAATGAGGAATTGTATTCAAAGGGTCATGAGTATTCTGATTATACTAAAAGTTTGTTGGAAGAGGTATCATTGTTGTTGAAGTGTATAGAGGAGACTAGAAAGGGAAATGGGGATTTGGAGGAAGTGGGATTGGCGTTAAGGGCAGTTAAAGTAAAGAAAGAAGGACTGCAAGGGCAGATAATGGAGGGCCTTTATACTGAATTGAGGGAATTGAAAAGAGAAAAGGAGAGTTTTGAGAATCGTGCAGAGGATATTATGGATGAGTCTCTGAAGGTTAGAAGAGAGTATGAGAATCTAAGGAAAAGTGTCGAGAAAGATAGGATGGAGGAGTTGGAGGAGAGAATGGGAGTGTTGGAGGAGAGAATGAGAGTGTTGAAGGAAGAGTACAGTATCATCTGGGATAAGATTGTAGAGGTTGGGGATGCAATTTTAAGGAGGGAGGCAATGGCCATGAGTGTTGGGATCAGAGAGCTTTGCTTCATTGAAAGGGAATGTGAGAAGTTGGTGAAGAGGTTTAACCAGGAAATGAGGCAGAAGGGTATGGAGAGGTAATTTCTTTAGTGGATGTTTTTATGGTTTTATGTACAAAGAATTCGGCTTGTGTAGAATCAAGAAAACAAGGATTCAGGTCGTTGATAATTTATGTGCATTTAATAGTTTAAGCTGCTTAAGTTTATGACATTGATAAATTCAGTTATTTTTGTTCTATTTGCTGGTTTTCTTTAGGAAATATGAATTGATGGGTACATTCACCTTAATGGTTTTTTAGATTTGCAAGGTGCAGAATCAGACAATTGAGAGTGTTATGTAACAGTCAAGAAGCAAGATGAAGAGTATCCAATAGGAAACAAAATTAGTTAGATGTTTTATGGTCTAGATGATACAAGGTTTATCATTCATTTTTACTCATTTTATATGGATATATTATATGTTATATAACCTTCTATCGTGTGGGACGAGGTGGTGTTTTTGGCTTATATATGGGTTTATGCTTTCAGGCCCTTTTGACGGTTCTCTTTGAATGGTATCTAATTATATTCTTGCATAGAAAATAAATTGTTAATTTATAATCCTTTGGTGCTACTTGATGTTTGTTGCTTGGCCCTATTCATAATAAGGTTATATATGTGCTTGCAGCCTGCAGAAGAGTTCTATTACCAAGCTTTCCAGGTATGAAATTCAGAAAGAACTGGAAACTGCACAAACAAAATTCTTGGAACAAATGATTCTGCCTAATGTTATGGAAGTTGAGGGCCTTGGACCTCTATTTGATCAAGAATTGGTGGATTTTGCTGCACATATAAAACAAGGCATTAAAGATTCAAGAAAGCTGCAGAATGATCTGGAGGCTCGTATGAGAAAAAAGATGAAAAGATTTGGTGATGAAAAGCGTTTTGTTGTACTGACACCAACAGATGAGGTCGTGAAGGGTTTTCCAGAAGCTGAGTTGAAGTGGATGTTTGGAGATAAGGAGGTTGTGGTTCCTAAAGCTATTCGTATGCACTTATACCATGGTTGGAAGAAGTGGAGAGAAGATGCAAAGGTGAACCTAAAAAGAAATTTGTTGGAGGATGCTGATTTTGGCAAACAGTATGTGGCCCAAATACAGGTAGCTTTTCCATTAGCCGACCAGTACGAAATTTGTGGAGGTAGAATGGAACTTTCTTACTTGTCAGAAGAATGTAAAATTGGGGGAAGCATATCACCTTTAAAATAGATTATATTCTGTTTTCCTTCTTAAAAATTATGAGCTAGATTGGTGAATCTTTATTTTGTAACCTTTTATTTCTGAAGGTGCATACTAGTAGATTGGTCTAGTAAATTAACTTGATATCAGAGAATTTAGTGTATAATGATGTGAAACTTTATTTTTAAAAACTTTATCTCCTTTGTGCTGTTTGTGATGGAAGCTTCCTGTATTATATATCAGTTTGAACCACAGGTATCTTTCTCCATTCTCTTTGCTTACCTGATGTTAATTTGATTGCGTAAACACAGTTCAAATTAACCCCTGGAATAAGTCAAGTAATATGTAATTTATAGCTTCATATCCCATATATCTGAATATCATTGTTGAAGAATTTAGGAGGCTTTTCAGGAGGTTTTTGTGTTTATATTTACCAGTTGAAAATTTAGAAGCCAAAGCATCCTTATAATTTGTTCTTGGTTGGCTTTTCATCTGAATGCTGTGGAAATTCACCTGATGGCCACATAACTTTTTTTGTTTAGCTTTATTTAAGGCATTTGCCTTTTACATTTTTTGCTCCATGATTCAATATTACTGCTGCAGTTGGTTGTTTGATTCCAGTTTTTAACTCATTTTTATCACTTAATTTGTATTATCATCCATGTAATTGCATATTACTTGTAGGAATGAATTCTACTGGTTAATTTATATTATCATCCATTTAATGACATGTTACTTGTAGGAACGAATTCTACTGGATCGAGATAGAGTGGTCTCAAGGACTTGGTACAATGAAGAGAAAAACAGGTGGGAAATGGACCCAGTAGCTGTTCCATATGCCATTTCCAAGAAACTAGTGGAGCATGCTCGAATAAGGCATGATTGGGGTGCCATGTATGTTTCACTAAAGGGGGATGACAAGGATTACTATGTGGACATTAAGGTTATCTATGTTTATTAACTATTTGATCTCTTCTTGTAAAGTATTGTTGGCATGCTTTTAACCTTACAATTTTTTTTGTTCCAGGAATTTGACATGCTCTATGAAGATTTTGGAGGGTTTGATGGGTTATATATGAAAATGCTTGCCCAGGGCATTCCAACTGCTGTTCATTTGATGTGGATCCCTTTTTCAGAATTGAATTTGCATCAACAATTTCTCTTGACAACGAGGCTGGCTCGCCAATGCGTAAATGGAATATGGAATACTAGAGTAGTTTCATATGGAAGGGATTGGGTGCTGGAGAAAATTAAAAATATAAATGATGACATAATGATGGTGATTGTGTTTCCTATAGTGGAGTTCATCATTCCTTTTCCGGTAATTGCTATATGAGCTTGTGACTTGCCTTTTAGATAACTTTATCCTCATTTATATTGCATGCTTATTCTTATTGTCATGATAGTTTCATAGTTACTGTTCTATTATAGGTAAGGATACGGCTGGGGATGGCATGGCCAGAGGAAATAGAGCAAAGTGTTGGTTCAACATGGTACTTGAAATGGCAGTCTGAGGCAGAAATGAATTTTAAGTCCAGGAAAACAGATGAAATACAATGGTATTTTTGGTTTGTCATTAGAGCCGCTATCTATGGATATGTTCTATTTCATGTCTTCCGATTTATGAAGAGAAAAGTTCCAAGACTTCTTGGTTTTGGACCCTTGCGTAGAGATCCAAACTTGCGGAAGTTACGAAGAGTGGTACTATTTGTTTACTTATCTCTTCTCTTTAATTTCCTTAACAGATTTTTATATTTAGTTATTAGTGATCTGGGTGTTGCATATACTATACGTTGGACCTATTATTCCTTTGCAAATTAATTGCTATTGATGATAACTACCGTGGTTTTGGCGAATTTCTATTATGAATATGATGCTTTTTTGCACCTTAATGTAATTGACTTATCTATTAAAATTTCTAGGTTTAGCAGGGTTTATAAGCATTGTGAAGTTCTAATTTGAGTATTATGGTGTTATCTAGAATATTGCATTGGTGCTTGGAAGTTAGAACTGGCAATCTCATTGCAAAATTATCCATATTAATCCCCAAACTCAGGATAAATTTGGAATGGCAGTGTATGTGAGAAATTGCTTTATCTGGAATGAGTTTGCTCTTTATTTTTGGTGCTGATGCATCAGCCAGTAGTAAGCAAACCCCTTCCTGGAGTTTCTTGGTCTTCACTCCTAAGTTTTTTTGCCACACATTATGTTCAGGCCTATTTGGGTTGGTTGCTCACTGTAAATTATAGTCTGTAGATTCAAAATCCAATATTCACTTCACTTAGACATGTTGGAGCTCAGTGGTGACAATTTATGGTTCTTATTTTTTCACTTGTGAATCACTTTGTGTAGGACAGCTGTCACTTTTTGATTCAGAATGATAGAGATCTCATTGATAGATCTAAGCCATCCTAGAATTAAGCTGACTGAACACAGTTACTGTTTTAAATGATCTGCAGAAAGCCTATATTAATTACAAGGTGAGGAGAATCAAACGTAAAAAGAAGGCTGGGATTGATCCTATTACAAGAGCTTTTGACAAAATGAAGGTTCACTTCTGCTACTTAATTATTTATTCAATCATCAAAATATTTGCCGGGACTAGTTTTAATATCCTCGATTGATTCCAGAGGGTGAAGAATCCTCCTATACCATTGAAGGACTTTGCTAGCGTTGATTCTATGAGGGAAGAAATTAATGAAGTAGTAGCATTTCTACAAAATCCCAGTGCATTCCAAGATATAGGTGCCCGTGCTCCTCGGGTACGTTATTTCAAAATGTTATCAATATCAGTGTGTGTGTGTATACATATTATTGTTGTCAGCATGACGTTTTTTCCTTCTTTTTCCTCTCTCATTTCTATTATTCTTGGAGTTGTTCTGACATTGAACTGTTTAATAGCATATTATTTCCTTCCTCATATGTAAGTAGAACTGAATTTGAAAGGCATCACGGGGGATATAGCCAAGTACACAAGCAGCATGAAAAGTAGATATGCTTATATTAAAGGGAAAAAGAGAAGATATTAGAGGAAAATGCAAAGTGAAGGTGAAAAAGGACTTAAAACTACTAGCTTTGGGTCTAGAAAACAAAATGACGTTGATTCCATATAGAACAGAACCTTCTTCTTCTTTTATAAAGCATCTAGGTTAAATAATATCTCTCCTCTGTCCTCCACTATGCAGTTTAGCCCATTCATGCTGCTTTTGCTTCTCTTGCTCTCAAATTCCCACTTATTAATTTTGCATTGGCTGTTGTGTTTTTACAAGTTTTTGGGATAAATAAACTAGTTATTGACACACCTGTGATTCTCTTTCTTGGATTGGGTGAAACTGGACCTTTTTAATGACCTTTTGCATGAGAATAATGGATATAAGGTCACTGTAAGACCAACTGTGTCAACATAAGTTGCAAATATTTTGGTTGGATAATAGGAATTCAATAGAGATGAAAATCGAGGATTTGGTGTTTGTCCACCTCTTCACCTCGTCTTTTCAGTTGAAGGCCTTAAACCAAAATTACAGGATTAAATGTTGAAATAAACTATTGTTGTATATTTGCATGTTCAACATTTACTTTACGCCAGTACTATGTAGCTAAGCTGTATTGATTGGTTCTATTCTATTTTGTGCTGTGAGCTGAGATGTGGTTATACCAGTCTATCACTCTACCAGTGAATTTATGTTGTTATATTTCAGGGAGTTCTTATTGTAGGAGAAAGGGGAACAGGAAAGACATCTCTGGCACTGGCTATTGCTGCAGAAGCCAGGGTCCCTGTTGTCAAAGTTGCAGCCCAGCAGTTGGAGGCTGGACTATGGGTTGGTCAAAGTGCATCAAATGTTCGAGAACTCTTCCAAACAGCTAGGGATTTGGTTGTCCTATAAACCTACTTGTTTGTTTCCTGTTTGTTCTCTCTCTCTTTTTTTTTTTGGCCTATTAGTTAGAAATTCTACATACATTTTAGAGAGGTAGGAAAAAATAGGAATTTGAACCTCTGACTGCCTATAGTTTGGCGGAGTACCTGACATCCAAGCTACTGGCCTAGTGGATTTTCCACTTTGATTTATCATTGATCTTTATTTATTTCTGGAATCAGAAATTAATTATGCTTCTCTTAAAATATTGGCTGAAATATTGGCTGACTTTACAATATTATTTCTAGGCTCCTGTAATCATTTTCGTGGAGGATTTTGACCTTTTTGCTGGTGTTCGTGGCAAGTTTATTCACACTAAGAAGCAGGATCATGAGGCTTTCATTAATCAACTTCTAGTGGAACTTGATGGGTAATTGGCAACTTTTCTCCTACCTTAAGCAAAGTTCCTTAGTTTGCTTTGAAGGAATTTTATTCTTGTCATATGCAGCCATATTCTATATGATAATTGATGGTGAATCTTAAGCATCCAACCATTTTTGTTCTTAAGTTTTGAATATAATGTCTTTATTTAGTTTAGCATAAATTAATTTACATTTCTACTGCATTACTTTGTCTTTTAGGCATGTGGTAGGATGTCATGGTAGTTGTTGCATTAGTGATTTTGTGTATCAAGCAAAATTTCCTGTTTCTACTAGTTTTGGGTGGGTTGGGGGTGGGTGATTGGTGTAAGCCTTGTTGTCCTTGGTAAATTCCTTGGAGATAGCCCGGTTTTTAAGCTTGGGATTGAAAAATATATTGCAGAGTTATGATTTTGCTATGAAGTGTGCATTTATCGAGATGCAAATTTTCTTTTGAATGTACCTTTAAGAGTAATTCAGTTAACATAGAACACATTAAAGAATGCCATAACTCATAGCTTTTTCATTACTCTTGGGATTCGGTGTATATAAATAATGCAATTTTGGACCATGAAGTTTATATAGATATACTGTTCTATTGGATGAAGCTGACATGATTAAATGGACTTCAATGAGTTGGTGCAAGTTTAATGTGTATAACTAGTTCCATGGAATCATTGCTAGAGGCCAAACATCTTGATTGCATGACTCTGCACTTTGGAAACCTGTAGCACTGTGATTCTGTGCTTACAGTGAATCAGAATGTCCACTTTCCTATCTAGATTTTGGCATAATTTTGGTTAAATTTGTTTCCTTAATGTTGTACAACTTTTCATATAGAGAGTTATATTTGCCTGCTGGTCTTTGATTACAATTTACTACAACTTAATTGATGTGCGTCATTATTAAAAGATTTCCAATTCCAAAACAGTGTTATCCTTTAATTTTATGGTAATAGTTCATCTCTACAATAATTTTAAGCATTAATAGTTGTAGAACCACAAGTGTTGCTGCTTCTATATTTTCTCAATGTTTGAGGATATCCTTTCTGTCACATGTCTATTTTTTCACCCATTAACACATTATGGCTGCATGTTTTGAACATCCTGTAAATGGACATTAAATCATATTGTCTGCTTTTGCTCTTCTTAATTTCAGCTGTTATTTCATCTTTTGACTCTTATGACCCATTGTAATTGACTTGACGATAATTCAATTTCTTTTTGGGCTATTAATATTGTAAATAAGTTGAAGCAATCGATTTTATAATATAATTAGCATCTCGAAATCTATGTTTTACTTTATAGGTTTGAGAAACAAGATGGAGTTGTTTTGATGGCCACAACTAGAAATTTGAAACAAATTGATGAGGCCTTGCGGCGACCTGGTAGAATGGATAGAGTATTTTATCTTCAACAGCCAACTCAAACAGAAAGGGAGAAAATTTTACTCAATGCTGCTAAAGCAACCATGGATGAAAACCTCATTGATTTTGTAGACTGGAAAAAGGTTATTTCTGATCAGCTATGTGTGCTTCTGCTTGCATATAAACATTGACAGAATTGAAGAACTTGTCCTCTGATCGTTCTCAGACTTGTTGATACTTGTCCTATGGTCATTCTCAAACTTGTTGATATGGTTATTTAAGCAGCAAATTATTGTGCTCTTTGATGTTTCCGTAGTTTTTTCTATAGTAAGAACTTGCTTTGCTGGGCTTTATGCATGTGTTTAGATGGCAAGTTTTAATCTTTTGTTTGACCATATGGTGTTTTATTTGCATTATGACCTCTAGAGGTTGTTTTGTTACTAGTTCTAATTTGTAGGTCATTTATAGAAAACACGTAATTTTCCTTTTTCTACTATTGGCCAATCTGTTTGTAAGGTGAATTTCTAGATTATTACTGTACTTTTTCCCCTTTGGGTTCTCTGGGAAAGGGCTTGAGTTAAAACCCACTTGGGGTTACTTTATCAATTGCGTTGACCCTATTTTTGTTTTTCTTTTCACTTCTTTTCTTTTGCATTTAGTACCTTATCTTGATAGTTTGGAGCTTTGCTGTTTTCAGGTTGCTGAGAAGACTGCTCTTTTACGTCCTGTAGAGTTAAAACTTGTTCCTGTTGCTCTGGAAGGTAGTGCCTTTAGGAGCAAATTTGTTGATACAGATGAACTTATGAGCTACTGCAGTTGGTTTGCGGTAAGAAATAAATTAAACAAAATAACAATAGTCTCCAATCTGTATCATTATCTAAGTTTCTTTTTTCTGCTTTTTATCTTTATCAATGTCTATTATGTTTAAACAAAGACATGCTTTGTTTAGATAATTTTGTAAACATTGTTTTTCCTTGCAATTTTCTTTTCTTTTTCAATTTTTTTTTAGTTAATTTCTTCCATAACACTGCTCTCTGATCATTTTTGCATTGAATAGTTTTTTCATTGATATTATTCACGAAGTTTAATTCTTTTCACAGACTTTCAGTGCCATTATCCCCAAGTGGGTTCGGAAAACCAAAATTGCGAGGAAGATGAGCAGGATGCTTGTGAACCATCTGGGGCTAGAATTGGCTAAGGAAGATCTGCAGAGTGTAGTTGATCTTATGGAGCCATATGGTCAGATAAGCAATGGAATAGACCTTCTCAATCCTCCAATTGATGTAAGAAAATCTTGCTTTTCAAGGGCACTGATAAATACTTGTGTTGCCTATTTTACCAAGTTGCCCAATGTGTTAAAACAGCATAATGTTGCAACCTTGTGCTTTGTTATTTTTACAATCATGTGAAAGCCATTCAACTATTTTGAAAGTCTGAACTAACAGAAGTTTGGATGTAGCAGTGGACCAGGGAGACCAAGTTCCCACATGCTGTCTGGGCTGCTGGCCGTGGTCTTATCACACTTCTATTACCTAACTTTGATGTCGTAGATAACCTATGGCTGGAGCCATGTTCATGGCAGGTTAGTCACATTATATTTTCTTGTGACTGTATTTTGATTTATCAAGGGTGGATTGTAGGAGTATTCAAATGCTTGTAAGGCTTTGTATAGCCATGCAGCAGAAGGGAAATTCTGATATGTTATGAGTAATCTGGAAATAGAAAATTAATAAATATTATTTATAATTATATATAGGCCAGATGAAAAGTAAGATAAGTGATATGCAAATAATATCATTTTCTGAAAAATCAAATAATGAGGAAGGGTGAGAAAAAAAAAAAAAAAAGAAAGGTCTTGGACTTTAGGGCTATATATTCCTTACTACCTTTTCAATCAGTCAAGCATGGTGTTGCAAGGATGGACTTTGCGACTCTCAAGGTGCTTTATAAGCATGCTTTGTACGGAAATATCTGCCAATTGAATATTTAGGTAGTTATTTGAAGTGTAGGACACCCAGACTGAACCAAGTACAGCTTCTACCATATTCTTCAAAAATGGGAGGTATCAGGTTCCTTTTTTCTAACTATGCTTTGAGATTTATGCTAACTATAGCATTATTGATCATAAGAGAAGCTGAAAAGTGTGAAATCTGTTCTTCTTTAGGTTTGGTGCGACAATTATAGATAGTCAAATTAGAAGTAGAGAAACGTGGGAAAATTTCACCCCTTTCTTTTTGCAGGGAATTGGATGCACAAAGATCAGTAAGGCCAGAAATGAAGGTTCACTGAATGGGAATGTGGAATCAAGATCATATCTTGAAAAGAAGCTTGTTTTTTGTTTTGGTTCATATGTTTCCTCGCAGCTACTGCTTCCCTTTGGTGAAGAAAATTTTCTTTCTTCTTCAGAGTTGAGACAGGCTCAGGAGGTTGATTTCATTCAGTAGTAATAGTCATTCAATATAGAAGTTCATTTGAGTAATAATTGCTTGATTGTGTATCTAAAATTTGCAACAGATTGCTACACGTATGGTGATTCAGTATGGGTGGGGACCTGATGACAGTCCTGCAATTTACTATACTAGCAATGCGGTATTCCAAATTCTTTTTAATGAAGAATATATTGGTTGACAAAGCAAAAAAAAATGTTTCAATTGCAGCATCCTAGTTTTATTGGTAGACCTGTGGTGTAATTTGTAATCATATGACTACTTGTCATTTCACTAAGTTGTGTCTGCATTTACTAGGAGCTTGGGTTGCCATGCTAATATTGACATTGGTTTTTGCCTGCTGTTATAGGTTACATCTTTAAGTATGGGCAACAACCATGAGTATGACATTGCTGCTAAAGTTGAAAAGGTGTGCTTGGTGCTTGTGGTGAATTTTTGCTCTCATTTCTTACACAAGTCAACTGTGGGAGCAACATTAATTGTTTTTTATGAGATTTATGAACATTTTATGCTTTTTACTTTTGCAGATGTATGATTTAGCATATCTTAAAGCAAAGGAAATGCTTCAGAAAAATCGTCGAGTTCTTGAGAAGATTGTTGAAGAATTACTTGAATTTGAGATCTTGACTGGCAAGGTTAAGCCTAAAACTGTTTGAACTGTCTATTTGTTCCAACAAGCCTCTCAATTTGATACTTATGCTTGTAGTTGTCTTCTGCATATTCAATTAGGGGTGCTTTAAGGCTTAAATCCTGAGTTGGTAGTCTCTCATTCGCACGTGATAAATCTCTAAGCACTCTAAATGTGAATGCTTGTATTTAAACTTCTGTTTGAAGTAACCAGTTTTACATATTGAATGACCATGTCAAACTTTTGCAGATCTATTAGTTGTGTGATGATTGATTTCATTGAGCTCGAATTTGTCTTGATTTTTTTTGTTTGCTACTGAATGATTTTGCTGAAAATAAAATGGATTATCTCAAAAAACTGTCAGTGTGTTAGGATTTTTATGTTTTGTTTATATGAACTTGACAATGCAGAAGTTGCGGGGAACTTGATGACCCATTCTAGCATCTCTCTCTCTCTCCCTCTACATTGTGGCTAGTTGTTGAGCTATTGCCAATAATTTTTAACATAATGTGATTTCCAGATTGGTGTTGTTAAGATGGTTTGTCTTTTTCTTTGTAGGATTTGGAAAGAATTATTGAAAATAATGGTGGGATTCGGGAGAAAGAGCCCTTTTTCCTTTCAGAGGCTAATTATAGAGAGGTATATCATAATCATTCCTCTCTTATTAGTTGGGATTGGGTACTTTACTCATTTTGGATAAGTTAGTGTATTTATCGTAGAATTGTGATTGAAGATTTTTTTTTTCTTTGACCATGGACACTCCATATCCTGGGCTATGTATTTGCCAATGTTTTTGTTAGAGTTCATCCTTTTGCAATAGTCTTGATGATTGGTTGGATCAATAGGATACTTTGTTTTGTTAAAATCTATGCAATTTGTCAAAATCCATGGAATTATTAACTTAAGTTTCTAATTCTATATGTATGTATACACACACACACACACACACACACACACTCTCACTCACTTAAGGGAAATGAACCAAATCAGTGGATTGTTCAAAATCCTCCATACCAAACAATTACCTTAATTGATTCATTGAATGAAAACTGGAAAAAAAAAAAAAGAATATTCTGGTCTGGCCACTGGTTCCGGAAAGTTTTTTCTTTTGCAGAATCTCACTTAATGCAGACAGATTAGACTTCTAGATAACAATACTTGATACTGGCTAGTGCACTTTTGATTTTCTGATACATAACCAAAGTAATTTTATAATTAATTTGGTTGTGTTTTCTACTCACCTGTCTTCATATATGAATGTCTTCTTATTTATAGACTGAGCCTCTGTCCCATCTTTGATCTATCTCAGCCAGTGTCTAGCAGCTTTCTTGATACGGGAAACGGACCAGGACCTGCTCTTTTAAGTGCATCTAACTAGGATGAAGGGACCACTCACTTTATTAAAGGTGAAAAGCCACACTTTTCCCTGCTGAGCTCAGATTACTTCTTCGTGTACAGGCTCCTCATTATATAAAATTATTATTCTGACCATTGAAGTATTATGAAAACTAGTTGTACAGGGAGTAGTTTAAGTTGAGAAGAGGTTCGATTTTTTCCTTCTCAACTGCTAGTTATCACAGTGAGAAAAATGTTTCCTTTTCACATTGTAATTTTGATTTTTTGCAATGAGATGTCAAATTGTAAAGGATTTGTTTTGTTTGTTATTTTTCTTAGATACTATAATATAAGCATTTAGCTCAGGAAGTTACTGATATTACCTAAATGTGCGTAACACGTCTATCGTGTTACATGTAAGAAATTTCAATCTATACTTCAAAGAGCATTTTGATGCTAATAACAATATTATTAGCAGTTGAAGAGTGATGTATGTTGTTGAATGGATCTATTTGTATTTTGTAGGTATGATGAAACAGAGGAATTCATACTGATTTAGCAGAGCTAGGAATTAGGAATGTTGCAACTTTATTCATTTCCAGAATAAATAAGTATATGTGAATATTCCTCTGCAGTTCCTTGCATTCTGCTAGCAATTGAACTCGGGGAACAATTTTAGTCAAAGAAAAAAAAAAGATTTACATAAAAGTAGAAAAAAAAAAAAGAAAAAAAACAGCAGGAACAAATTTTGTATTCCTACAGAAGCCCTATTACAGGTGAGTTGCTAAAAACTTGCTGCTCTTTACTAGGATTGTGTACCCCATTCTGACAAATGCTTTTTCTTCTTGGTTTTGCTTCTCCTAGCATTGTTATGACATCCCTCATTGATGGTCTGTCCTTGGGGTTCTTCGCAGTACAAAGAATTGCGATTCGGAGAACCAGAAGCATCTCTTCCTGGACATGTTTGCATTGTCCTGCAATATTAGGGTCTAATGCTTCTTCTAATCCTCTGTTGTCTCTTCTAATCCATTCGACAATGTCTATAGGTTCTCCAAATGCAGGGTCCAGAGGTTTTTTCCCTGATAGAAGCTCCAAAAGTACAACACCGAAGCTGTATATATCACTCTTCTCATCAACCTTCAATGTGTATCCATATTCTGTTATGACAAAACATAAACATTAGTGAACATAATTAGGAAACCAAAATTGCTTAAATATGAAATTTACCGCCAGCCCAAGAAAAGAATAGTCAACGTGAAGAACATTTATTGTTAAACTCACCAGGTGCAATATATCCATAAGATCCTGCCACCATTGATACGGTCTCATTCTTGTGAACCATCATTCTTGCCAATCCGAAATCTGCTATCCTTGCATCTAGATTTCCATCGAGCAATATATTGTTTGACTTGATGTCACGGTGGATGACTGGCGGGCGACAATCATGGTGGAGATAGTTCAGCCCTTGCGCAACACCAACTGCTATGTTATACCTTGAAACCCAGTCAACTAGCAGCTTTCCAGCTTCTTTACCATGCAAAGCTGACCAAAGATTTCCATTAGGCATGTATTCATAAATCATTATTACATCTGTTTCATTATGAAGATACCCTAACAGCCTGACAATGTTCCTGTGCCGGAGCCTCCCTAACAGACTCACTTCTGCAAATAGATCATCGCCATTTTCGACGTCTGTGTTTGTTCTCCATAATTTCTTGACTGCAACAGCTAGGTGGGGCCGATTGACTTCGGCCTTGTAAACAATACCTGTTCCTCCCATGCCAATGACATTTGATTCCTTTATGCAAGCTAGAATGTCACTGCTAGTGAAACTAACTCTCTGAAATGCTACTAGTATCCATGGCCACTCTTTGCTGCTCTTCTTAAACCAATCATAAACGGAACTGTTATACAAATACCACCTTTTATACATCATTCTCCCAATGAAAAATGCAATACCAAGAGCTAAGATTACTGAGACTCCAATTATGAATCCGAAAATGATGTGATGAACGCGAAGATTCTCTCTTCGCTTTGTTGTTGAGGAATCTGAGGAACACGGTGGAAGCACACCACCACATAGTCCAGAATTACCAACAAGATCATTAGGGTTAATGGCCATTAGTATGCCATTAGAGGGAACTTGACCTTTTAGGTTATTGTATGACAAATTTACCATTTCCAGGGCTGGTGAGGTACCAAAACCATCTGGTATATGACCAACTAAAGAATTGTTGGACAGGTTAAGAATGGCTAACGTAGGCATCTTCGAGATTGCTTTAGGGATTTCTCCAGTAAGTTTATTATTTTGAAGATTCAGGGTCACTAGCTTTTCACATGAAGCAATACTGCCTGGAAGTGTTCCTGATAACTGATTGCTAGAAAGATCAAGCACTGAGAGTGATGGGCAGTCTTGAAATTGGTCTGGGATTTTTCCATCCAAGTTGTTGTTGGAGGCCATGAAGGTCTGTAGATTAGGAATGGAGAGGATAGTATATGGAAGAGATGATTCAAGGTGGTTCAAAGAGATGTCGATGAAAGAAAGTGAAGTAGACAGAGCAATATCATCTGGTATTTCACCAGAGAGACTGTTGTTAGCCAATTCAAGTCTTTGAAGTATTGGAAGACTTCCAAAACCAACTGGAATATTCCCAGAAATAAGATTATGTTGCATTCGAACACGGACTAATGACTTGCAGGCAGATAGACCTAATGGGATTGGACCAGAAAATGAGTTATTGAAGAGAATGAGTTTAGTAAGATTGCCAGAATGACATAAACCCAGAGGAATTTCACCGGATAATGAATTTGATGAAACATCTAACCACTGCAATGGTGAATTCTGTCCAAGGTTTATTGGTAAAGGGCCTGTCAAAGAATTTCTCCACAGCTCAAGTACTTCTAATTTGGTTAAATCACCAATCTTGCTAGGAATTGGACCAATCAACTTGTTGCACATCAAATTCAGGAGCTGCAAATTTCTCAGGTCTGCTATCTGCACTGGTATTTCTCCTGAAATCTGATTATCAGAAAGATCAAGAAACTGCAGTGATGTAATGTTCCCAAGTTCTGGTGGAATCCTTCCTGTGAAATTGTTTTTATACAAATAAACTGTTGTAAGTTTTTTCAGCCTACTCAATTCTGCTGGAATTTGACCATTCAGTGTACCAACTGCCAAGTCAAGATACTGAAGATTAGTGAGGTTACCGAACTCTGCCGGAATTTCTCCTTCAAACTCATTATATCCAATAATTAAAGTCTCGAGGGAAGAAAGCTGACCAATCTCATTTGGTATCTTTCCTGTTAGATTGTTACCAGAAAGGCCAAGAAACTTCAATTTCTGCAGATTCTTGAAAGAAGTAGGAATTGAACCTTCGAAGAAACTCCCTCGAAAATCCAAGCTCTCGAGTGACGTTGCATTTCCAAGATCCTCAGGAAGATAACCTGAAAAATTGTTGCTTGATGCATTGACTGAAGTTAATCCTGAAGCCTTTCCGAGGCCAACAGGAAAGTTGCCGATGAAGTTATTTTGACTTACATCAATGACTTCTAGTGAAGTGAGATTTCCTAATGATTTTGGCAATGAAGAAGCAAACCCATTACAGGAAATATCAAGAAAAGAAAGACTCTGCAGATTTTGAATGTGATCTGATACATTGCCGGTAAGATTCATATTATATAGGTTAAGCCTCTCTACAAAGCCTCTAGAGTTGCAAAATACTCCAGTCCAGTTGCAATGAAAAACTGGATCATTTTCAGCTCCATTACTTGGCATTTTCCAATCTTTCAGCCAATTCGATGGATCAATGAGGCTTGATTTCATCAACAGCAGAGTTGATAGTTCACCATTTTCTACATTTTGAGCTCCCTCAATAAAAACAAGAGGGAGACCAATAAAACAGTAAAAGAACAACAGCAACTGGGTTTGCATTTTATTGTTCTTCGAACTTTGTTCTCTCTAGTTGTCTGACATTTTTAGCTACCAGAAGAAGAAGAAGAAGAAAAAGAAGGTAGCAAGAGAAAGAGAGCAACTAATAAAGGTAGTTATAATTAAAGATTAATTATAAGTATTAATTAAATGTTTTTACGTGAGTTCTTGGGATCTGAACCAGCTAATTTTCTGCAGTAGGTGACTGTGAAGCTTTGGACTTATTGAAAATCTTGCAGACACTAAAACATGGAGAGAATGTGTTTTCAGATATAATGATTTGTTGTTATGTTATTATTTCTTGATCATAGTCAACTCATGTGGATTACTAAATTAATTACAGAATAATTAACATTTATATGCAATTTTAGAGCAAGATTGTTTCTGGCATTCTTAATTATTCCTCTCTGACATTTATCCAATACTTACATTTCTTACTGAATTTAACTCGTTGAACTATCAAAACAATATATTTTAATGATATTTATTATTTTTATTTATTGGATAAACTATATAATAAAATGATCCTCTTATATTTTCATAAATTTATTTGAAGTAATTCATAGGATTTATGCGGAAATATTTTCATAATTATAATTAATCTCTTAGAAATCAATTTGGATTGGCTCTGATATATTTAAAGAATGTGATTAATTAAGCATAAAATGAAACCAAATACCCACTTCATATTTGAATATAAGATCCCAAAAAAAATCTTTAACTTTACCATTTACTTATTTATTTTTTTATTTTCAGATTATTTTTAAAGATTGTTAAGTATCATTAGTGCTATCATTACCAATAACCATCATTTTGGAAGGACATCCACTAAGATTAAACTCTATTTTCTGTGTCACACGAATGATACTTACATTTCTTTTCATTTAAATTGTATTATTATAAATTAATTTTAGTCAAATATTTATTAAATATAATTTTCCAATTCTTTACCTTGGAATTAAGAGATTTGGAAAAGAAAACAGAAATTTAATTAATATTTAATTCAAGAATAATTAAAGAGAGAGGAAAATTTCTATGAGTGTTAGAGTTCTAATTATGGGATCTACACAAAAACTTTTTCCTTCTCTTAAACGTGGCTTCACAATTATCTATCATATTGCCCTTAAAAATAAATAATTGAATCTTTATAAACCAAAAAAAGGAAATTGCACCTTCGAATAATGGTATAGCCAAAATTGTGGATGAAAATTTATATCAAACTCTTTTTTTTTTTTTTTTTAATATTCACTTAGAAGTGAAAAGCAGATCTTCAATCCTAGCATGATTGATTAGGTATAAAGGAATCTGCCCATGTTATACAATTACAAGATAAAGAGGGAAAAAGGAAGAAAAAAAAAAAAAAAAAAAAAAAAGAGGGAAAAAGGAAGAAAAAAAAAAAAAAAAAAAAAAAAGGAATACAAAATTAGACAACTTGGAACTTTCTATGAGAGGGAAAATGGGTCCCGTAAGGGAAGTGTTATGCAAGTGATAGCTTCAATAATCATTGTCTTTCCCTACCAAACACCATTCCTTGCCCAAAAATATAATTTAGGGTTTTTAATTTCTAAGTATGCAATTGCACATGCACACATCTGGCTCTTACCAATTATTACAAATTTTAAAATATAAGCATCTAATATGAAAGAAAGAGGCAAAAATTTAAATTTTTTTTTTAATATTTGGGCAATTAAAGGGTAATAATTGAAACCATGAAACATGGTGGAATGGCTGGAGGCCATGTGCAAGGGCAGTTTCCTTTGGAAAGGACTTAAAATTCCCCATTATAATTGATTTTGGGACACCCTCACATTGCTTTAGGGGTAGATTCTTACATACAACACTGGTATCTTAGCCACAATATTTTTGTGGCCATTTGATAACCAACAACAAAGTGCAGAGATTAGGTGCCCCACATGGCTTTATGCCAAAGCCACAACCCCCCTATCAATCATTCCATCATTAGGGTCCTTAACCCTTTTTTTTTTTAATGAACAAAGAAAGAAAGTGAAAGTATAGTATTGAGGTTGGGTATAAAATTGAATTGCATATGGAAAGTAAATTGAGAATATTTCTAGATGTATTTTTTCTAATTACAAAGGAAGAAAAGCAAACTTATAAACCATTGACCAAGTATCAATTTCTTCAAATCAGGAAATTGAAAATATTAAATAATTTTAAGAGAGGGAAAATTTATTGAACAACCCAGTGAAAAAAGCACCTCTAATGCCGTCAACTGAGCTTATGCATGTCTTACATTCACTATTTTTTACAATCTCTACCTTTTTACTTCTCAATCTTTTAATGATAGTAAAAAAAAAAAACTCCAAATTCTCCTATTCCTTGCATTTGAGGAATGCCTTATTTATAACCAAACCCCATTTCTACCATACTAAGTAAACATAGACATGTATTTATTTTTTTACCTCAAATACAACATATAAATAAAACAAAATGCGATGTCACAACAACCTTCTAATTTCTTATGATGAGGATAAGCTTAAAATTAATGGATTTCCATAATTTATTTTAAGTTAATAGAAAAAATAAAAATAAATTAAGTTTGTAGGTTTTTCTTTTATTTATTCCAATTTTTTAATAAACAAAAAATTCAGAATATCCTTGTTTCCTGGAATTTCTTTTTTTTTTTTTTTTTTTTTTTTTTTTTCTTTTTTTTTTTTTTTTTTTTTTTTTTTTTTTGATTGTTTAATAATTGGATTTGGACTACTTTTATTAGAATATAGACTAATTTGATTTTTTTTTTTTATTATTAAAAAATTGGTATCATGTGCAAGTTTTTATGCATCTATTAAACAATAATATTTGGATTGGGCTCTTGAAGCTTAAAAAATGAATTGTGGGCCTACAGAGTTCGTCATTCAAGTATGATTATAGTTGAAGGCCCAAGTACAAACATTACTTTTTGTAGACAAAATAAGGCCCATTGGATTTATCCGGTTCAACAATTATTGCTCGTTTATTTCAGTTGAGCAAATAAATTCCCAAAAACGACTAGTATATTGGTCGTTTAACTTGCCAAAACCATAATGGTCTCTTTTTTTTTTTTTTTTTTTTTTTTTTTTTTTTTTTTTTTTTTTTCTTTTTTTAACAAATGTAAAATAACTTATATATTAGAGTCCAACGTCTTTTTTTTTTTTTTTTTTTTTCTTTTTTACAATGTAAAATACTTATATATTAGCGTCAACGTCTAAAACATCACAAATAAAAATAAAGATGGTGGGACCCCCCCCCCCCAAAAAATCCATCTAATAACTTTTTATTTTTCCCTCTCGGTTAAATTTAAATGTAATTCGTGAAATTTATCGAATGAGGCAATCAAATTTTTTATAAATCGAATGTCAAACAAATTATAAATAGCTTGAGTTTGAACGGCTTGACTTATTTATCGAATGAGCCTATTTTTAAATTTTTGTTTAAACTTTTTTTTTTTACTTGAAATTAAAATTAGTAATTTATTAGGAAAAATTAATTTGATCTTAAATTATTGAAATTTAAATTAAAAAACTTAAAATAGCAATCCTCCCTAAGATTTAGAAGCCATTCTAAATTTCAGAGGGATAGCAATGCATTCCTTTTTGCCAAGCTCCTTTTATACGTATGGATTTAGATTCTATCAATGGCCATTAAATTAAATAGTCTGTAATTCATGACCTTAAAATCGTATCAATCCCTAAATTTCAAAGAGTGATTTTTATTTCTTTTGCATTGTAATGTTTTTTGAAATTTGTATACATAAACCCATGATTTTCAATTCTTTGCTGCTATCCAATAAAAAATCTGTAACAACCTTGTAAGTTACCGTTTCTTTTTGAAATTCAATAAATAACGCGATATGAAATTTGTTTTTACTAAATTAGTTTCTTTTCTTGTATTTTTATGACAAAATGATTGTTCTCTATGCACAGAACTTGAAATTAAACAATCAAGCATTACAGAGTTGGGATTTGATTCTAAGAATTTGTGGAGGCACTATTTTGGATGAGCAGGTATTACATCATCAATCAATCTGTTTATATTATTCTCCACTACTCCTTGTCTGAAATTTAAATTATAAAATTCATTTATAACTATTAAATTTTTTCAAATGATTTTATAAAATTCATTTATACCAATTTGAATCTTACTATTTGTAAGTATTTTTGTAGTACTTGTGCACAAGTTGCACCAATGGAAACATTGCGGGGAGCTCAATTCACAATGAGCGACGGCACCACCCTAGTAACGGAGGTGGTTTTCGACGAGGAATCGCATCTTTGCCTGTATCTATTATTACAAGACATGATCAAAGTTAGTGACATGGTTGTTGGATTCGAAATGGAATGGGGGTTTAAAGGACGTTCTTATAGTAGATCAGGAAGTAATTCAGGAAAATTCAGTGAAATTTGCCTTCCATCGGATAAATTCGAGCATTCCCAAAAGAAAATTGAACACCACATTGCATTACTGACATTATGTACTAGACTTGGTTGTGTGCTTATTAGGCTAAGCCCTAATTCCATTTCTGCTTCTTTAATGAGATTTCTTGCTATTAAGGATATTATATTTGCTGGGGTTCATATTAAAGAAGATGTTGAAAAGCTAAAAGAGGCTTATGGGATTGTGATTAGAAATGCTGTTGAACTAAGTGATTTGGCTGCTAAGATTTATGATAATCCTAGGTTTGTGTTTTATAGTTCTAGGGATTTGGCTACTAAAATTGTTTCAATCAAATTTGGGCCAAAGCCATATGTCGTTTTATGGTCTAATTGGTTTGACCATAATCTTAGCACAGAACAAGTTGAGTGTGCAGCTGTTGATGCATATTGTAGTTATAAAATTGGGAAAAAGCTCATGGAAAGTGGTAATGCTAGTTTCAAGAGATTGTTCTCTTGATTTTTTTTTTCCAATGTTTTTAAATTATTATTATTATTATTATTATTATTATGAGCGGATTGCTTTATAAGTTGAATTATAAACTTTATATTTCTTAACTTGAGCTAGTTTGAAGGTGTTTTATGTACAATTTTTTTTTTTTTTTTTTTTTTTTTTAACTTGAAGCTATGTTTGAAGGTGTTTTATGTAGCAATTTTTTTTTTTTTTTTTTTTTCTCTCCTTTGTGTGTGTGTATTAACCATTTAAATTTTGATATGAAAGAAATGGAATAGTATTTTTCTTTTTTAATTCCTTCGCATGGGTATATGTGATATTGGATTTTTTTTTTTAAATTGAATTGATTGGTTTGTGTGTGTTTATTTTTTTTTTTTTTTTTTTTTTTTTGTGTGTGTGATTAACCATTTAATTTGATATGAAAGAAATGGAATATATTTTTCTTTTTTAATTCCTTCCATGGGTATATGTGATATTGGATTTTTTTTTTTAAATTGAATTGATTGGTTGTGTGTGTTTAAGATGCCAGGTTTTTATTTTTTAATCATTCAGTGTTCGAAGCTCACTAGTCAGACTAATCCGGATTTGCACCAGGCATATCTGCAAAAGGGAAGATTGCTTTTTTCCTGTTTAAAGAGACTTCATATCTAAAACTCGAACTCAAAACCTCTAAAAAGATCCTTGCTACGATGTTATCCCATATCATCTCTCAAGATTGAGATGATAGGTTTTGCTAAAACCTTTCTCATCATCGTTAATGTTCTGATTGATCAAGAATTAAATGTGAAAATTTTTAATTATTTTAAGCTAACGTTCGTTGGCTAAATTTGACATATAATTTGTGCGAGATCTAAAATCAAATTTTTATTCTCCTAAAATAAAATAAAATTTATATATAATTTTTTTCATCAATTGGTGGATTATCAAAGTGTGAATTTACAAGAGAGTTAACTTAAAGATGATTGTAAGATATGTAATTCAACCAAAATAATAACTTTGGATAAGATATTTGATAAAATAAATTTATTTTTGTTATTTTTTGCAAAAAAAAGAAATTTGTGGCCTTAAAACCTTTATAAAAAATTTATTGTGCCTTTAAAGATTTATTCACCTCTTCTTACTAGAAACTAGAAACAACAAATTTTAGAAATTTTGATTTTTATATGTAAAATATTATAGTTATTTTTTTTATAGACTTAGAAATTATTATTTTTAAATGTTACTATTAAGGTAGTTTAGAAAGTGAGAATAAATTAAATTTTATTTAAAATTATACCAAATATTTTTATTATATAAAATTCAACTGAGTTTTTGTATTTTAAATTATATCTTCTAAATTATAACTCTAATTCATTTAAACCAAAAAACAGTTAATCAATGGGGGGGAAAAAAAAATTGGTAGTTACATGGGAACTCTTGTATACATGATCACACTGGATAACAAACCTCATGCTCTGAGCCGCGAAGTAAGACGGATAACAAAAAAAGGTCAAAAACGACGCCTCCACGTTTCAACGTAGAAAACGAAAAAGAAAATTCAAAACCCTTTCAAAATATTTAAATATCAAGTCATATCCAAAACGACGAAGATTCGAATTTTTTCTTTTATTACACCTTCGGGAAGATTTTCTCGAGAAAATCGGATTTTTCTAATCCAAAATCACTCGCAAAAAGTGTAATTGATGATGAAATTGTCAAAATTCAGTGCTTTGTTTATTGTAGTCGCTTTAGTTTTGATTCAATCTGGAGCTTCGCTTCGATCACAGAGAACTCAGCAAGCTTACGTGACACTGTTGTACGGCGATGAATTCCTGTTGGGTGTTAGGGTTTTGGGGAAATCGATCCGGGACACTGGATCGACGAAGGACATGGTAGTTTTGGTCTCTGATGGTGTCTCTGATTACGCTGTGAAGCTTCTTGAGGTAAATTGTTGTGGTGATCTCTGGTTGTTTTGCTTAAGAAAGAGTAGATTTTTAGATACTGAATTAGATGATGAATACGTTCTCACTTTTTCTCGTTTGCTCTTTCAATTTAACGTATCTTTTTTTCTTTTTCCTTTTTTTTTTTTTTCTTTTTTAAAAAGAACTCAATAGAGAAAAATATGACTAAAATGGAAATTAATTTATTAGCCGTAAAGAAGGAACTTAAGTTTGGTTTGGATGCCAACGGAAGGGGGAGACTTTTAGCTTTATTTTATGGTATGCTAATCTACTAAAATTTCTACGGAAGGAATATCATTGGGATCAATGGAGCTAATTTAAATTTGTTTTATTACTATGACGTTTTTGACAGTTCTATAATAGAAAAGAGGTATTTACTCAAAATATGACTAATTCAACTTTTTGGTAAAACAATAAAGGATAGAGGAATGCAATTTTACATCTTCCAAATGTCTGGAAATTCTTTGTTAAGTGAGGCACTGTTTAGTTTTTCAATATTCCAATTTTACGGGTTGATATTGCACAGGCTGATGGGTGGATAGTGGAAAAGATTAGCTTATTAGCGAATCCCAATCGAGTGCGGCCAAAGAGGTTTTGGGGCGTGTATACCAAGCTCAAAATCTTTAATATGACTAACTACAAGAAAGGTAAATTTCTCTCTCACAGAATATTAAATTTAGTTAACATGCATCTCTAGTGTTTAGATTGTTTCTGCTATTATGCAGGCAAGAAGGGATAAAAAATTGGAACTGGAAATAATGTAATTTCTTTTTCATATTTTTTGGGATGAAACATTGGGATTTGTGGATTTTGATGTCTATTGTTTGAAGTTTGTTTTATACTACGGATGTATATATTGGTCCTGGGAGAGTAAAAGAAAAAACTTTTGCATGAATATTATCTATAATGAGGGGACAAGCTACTGGTTCCTATACCTATTTAAGATGCTAAATTACATGGAAGAAATGGTTCTACAATTCAAAATCTTCCTGTGTTGTAAATATGAATCTAAGATTTGTTACTTTTGCCTTACCATGTTCTTTCAATTTTGAGACATTGAGATTTTGTTGCTCTATTTCTTCTCTAATATCAATGTGATATTTGTGGTGCTTCTGTTGATACATTCCTGGGAATTCATTTGTGCAGTTGTATATCTTGATGCGGATACTATTGTGGTTAAAAGTATTGAGGATCTCTTTAAATGTGGAAAATTTTGCGCTAACTTGAAGCATTCAGAGAGATTGAATTCAGGAGTCATGGTAGTGGAACCGTCTCAGTTAGTTTTCGATGACATGATGAGCAAAGTGAACACTTTGCATTCTTACACTGGAGGTGAAACTTTTTTTTTTTTTTTTTATAATCCAATGCCTTTATCATACTTATCAATTATGATATTTCCTTTCATGTAATACTTTGTCATTGCTGCTGTTAGTTGACTGTTTTACCTTTGAATTGCTATCTTTCATAAATCCAAAGGATGCCAATGGATGGCCTCTGGGTTATTATGGTTACTTTGTTAAGGAAGAAAAACCTTATTATTGGACTTGATCCATCGACTCATGGTTGAATTCTAATATAAAAACAATAATGAATATGTAATCCTTGAAAATTAGATTTAACCAAAGTTAGAAAGCACTTAAATTACTCAAATAATACCTTAAACTCTCGTAATTCTTGTTTTTTGTGGCTCAAAATGATTCTTGGTACTGTATATGTTTTTTAAGTTTATATGTCCTGAAGCTGATGATGGCTTTTTCTACTTCGAGAAACATTTAATCTCATAATCTTTGCCAAAGCTTTTTTCTTTCTCTTTGTTTATATAGCAATTATCGTGTCTGATTTTTTTTTATTTCATTTTTTAATAACAGGAGATCAGGGGTTTCTGAACTCGTATTACTCTGACTTCCCCAATGCTCACGTTTTCCAACCTAACATACCCCAAGAAGTGCTGAATTCTAGACCTGTACCTGATGTGGAGCGTCTCTCTACTCTATATAATGCAGATGTTGGTCTCTACATGCTTGCTAACAAGGTACTAAACACATAGATATTATGATGATTAATGCCATGGCGATGGAATACCAATTTCAGTGGCCTTATTATTATTTCTGTATTCATCATTGTACCTTTGCACCATATGTAAAGGTAGAGTACCAGCTGTGGAATAACATCATAGATTGAATTCATAATTTTATATTGTTCATGTAGTCTTGGTAAAGCATGTAATCCTTATGGTATGCGCTATATCGTGGGTGAATATTTGATATAGAAATCTGTTTGATAGCACGGACATTGAGAGTATTAATCTGTTTTCAAGATTTCTAATTTTATCATAAGAGTGATACCTTTGTTCATAATTTGCTTTTAATTTAAATAATTGAATATTCTAACCTTTTCATGCATTCTATATGCAGTGGATGGTAAATGAGACTGAACTCCATGTTATTCACTATACACTTGGCCCACTTAAACCTTGGGACTGGTGGACATCTTGGCTTTTAAAACCTGTTGATGTATGGCAGGTATTTACTCTTACTTCCCTCTTGTAAATGAACTGGATATTTTTTTTTTTTATTCTCTGATCTTGACATCCTATTTGTTCTAGGTTTATCTTACTCCCTCACTTTTTCCTCTCTCTCCCTCTCTCTTTATTGGTTGGTTACTTGTGTCTAACCATTTACTTCTCTGATGATCTGCTGGCATACGTTTTCCCAGTAGCTTGGTGGGAGGGGAGTTGGTTGCAATTGCTTGTGCATAATTCCTTTTTTCTAATAGGAATTTGCTAAGCTTCTCATATCTAGCTCTTGGAGCTGGCTGAAACCATAAAGGCTTATGTGATTTAATTCCCTGAACAGTGGAGAAGATTTCTTGATTAGCCAATAACTGAATTCTTTTCCCTAATGCTGCAGAATGCTAGGGAAAGGCTAGAGGATTCCCTTCCTGGAACTGGAGGTGGCAGAAATCCTAATGATTCATTGCTTGTCAAATTTCTTTTCTTTTTACCATTATGTGCTGTGCTCTTCCTTTACTATCGATCATTCCTTCAGGTTACCTACTTTCCAACTATTTGTTACTCATGTTCATAATGGAATGCTTGTTATTTAGATGTCTAATATATAATTTTTGGGGCAGACACAGGCATTTTGTAGAAATTCATTATGCGATCATATCAGACACCTCTACTACAAAATTAGATCTAATGCATATGTAGGCGTTTCTTCATCATCTACCTTCAATTCAGCCAATCAAGTTAGTGCTCTTTTCCTTTTGTTCTGGATTTGATTTTGAATGGTCATTCACAGCATGTTCTCTTATGTTTTCTTGCTAATTCCGAGAGACCTTTTATGTTCTGATGTTAAACAGTTCTCTACTGATGCACATTCAAAGGTGCCAGCCTATTTGGGCGGACTTTCCATCTTTGCATGTTTTATGGCTGCATTGGTATCTCTTGCATTTAGCCTTGCTATTGTGCCTCGGCAAGTGATGCCATGGACTGGTTTGCTCTTAATGTATGAATGGACATTCACAACCTTCTTCCTTTTATTCGGAGGTTTTCTCCATTTGACCTATATATGGGGAAAGATGACAGCGAATCAAGCATACCTTTCCTCTCATCCTGAATCTTTTGATTATGAAACTGGAAAAGGTTAGTAGACTATGTTTGGACAGTTAGTTCTTTTAAATGTTTAAAGTTTTACTTTTTCTTGATATTCTTGTAACTTTCACAGGTCATCAATGGCAAGGGTCATCCTGTGATGTTGCTACATGGTATTATGGGCTAGGAATGGCCTTTTTGGCTATTGCTGTTCCAGCTTTACCATGTATTTTTGGCATTACTGCTCTGTTTGCAAGGTAATATTTTTTTGACTATAAGCATTAAAATGTCAGCTTCTGTTGTCTCTTCTTTCTAAAAATTGAACTTTTATTTTCTTTATGATACCTTAGGTTAGGCTTGGTGGTTGCTGGTGGCATTGTTCTGGCATCTTTCATGACATATGCTTCTGAGCATCTTGCAATAAAATCATTTTTACGAGGTATTGAAGATCGGGAGGCAACACGGTCAAGGAGTCTCTGTTTTTCATGTTGACAGGCATCTTAAGATAATGAATGTAGGTGAATTGTAATTTATTCAACATTTAATTAATTGAGATTGATTTGTAAGTGTCAGATTAGAGAAATATTTGCCTTTTTTCAAAAAGGGTTTTGTTGTAATATTCTTTGGGGAACATTATGGATCATAGTTTTTTTATAAAATGCTTCATTCAATTTTCAAGCTTCCAAAATGAAATTTATTAGAAATGTAAATATTTGAAATTTTAATAGTACTAATTTAATATTTTAATTTGCTTGATCAGAAATCTAAAATATTTGAAATTCTAATAGTATTATTTTTTTTTTTTTTTTGAGCATGTTAATTTAATTCAAGCCATTTAAATTAATTGAGATTGATTTGTAAGTGTGCCAGATTAGAGAAAATATTTGCCTTTTTTTCAAAAAGGGTTTTGTTTGTATATATTCCTTTGGGGAAGCATTATGGAATCATAAGTTTTTTTTATAAAATGCTTCATTCATTTTCAAGCTTGCAAAATGAAATTTATTAGAAATGTAAATATTTGAAATTTTAATAGTACTTAATTAAATATTTTAATTTGGCTTGATCAGAATATTATATATTTGAAATTCTAATAGTATATATTGTTTTTTTTTTTTTTGAGTTGGAAAATCTAATAAGTATTAATGGAAATATACTATTTTTTTTTTTTTTTTTTGAGTGGAAATTCTAATAGTATTAATGGAATATACTATTTCTTTTTAAATATATATTTTTTCTAGGAAGGTGGTATCATGATTAATTTTTGCATACTATTTTAATTTTATCTTTTCACATTAAAATTAAGGGTTTCAGTTTTAATATGAGTGCTAAATTTCTTGCATAAAATAAATTACTCACATCAACTTGTGCATACCACCTGTCTTTTAAGTGCACCTTATTCTAGCCTATAATGCACTCCTTTTATGGCTGCTAATATAATGCCCCACCAATGGACAGTGTTACAATTTTATTGGTTGTGAAGCTTTTATAAATGAAACATGTAAAAATTTGATTTTAGAAATTAATTTTAATAGTTTTTTTTTTCCAAAAATTAATAAAGAGTGATTTGTAATACAAAATATTTTACATTTATAAACAGGGTTGATGTACGGATTTTCAGATCATAAATTGAGTAACTTTAATATTGCACAAAAGCCACCCTCCCACACTTAAATATATTATTTTACGGAGAACCCATAATTTAAAATGATGAAATATTTGAAATAAATAGTCCTTAGTTGGTCTTGCAGAATATTCATTTACCAAACTAATAGAATCCTACAAAACATGACAACAAAGCAATCCACCATAGAAGCAGATTGGTATAAAACTTTGCCACTAAAAGTTACCAAGTCAACAATAAGTGGAGTTTATTTAAAAGGAAGCAACAAAATCTTTCAATAATCTTTTGTTTTTTATACTTACATCTTGTTTGAATCTGAATCTTCTGCAATTTTTTAAACTGTCACTGAACTAACCCACCATTTTTAATTATCATATTTGCTTGTCAGATAGGTTCTTGATGAGTCATTAGCCAATAGAAAAATGATAATTGATAGATTTGTTTTCACTTTTTTCTTCTTTTTTCTTAGTTGCATGCCATTTTCCACTAATCAAGACACATGGCTACTAAATTAGAAAGAATATAAAAGTAACCCGAGAGGTGAGGGATGAAATGGATGACAGAAATTCTCTCCTTTAATCAGAGGTCTTGAGTTCGAACTCTGCGTATAAAGTCCTTATAAACACTCAGAAACTTTGAGAGCCTTTCTGATACGAATTCGGATTAGTTAAGTTCAAGGACTTCAAATACCGAATGATTAAAAATAAAAAAAATAATAAAAATAGAAGTATTTATTGGAGGGAGAAAAGGACAGAATGAAAGGTGGTCTTTAATGCATCATCATCCTTATCCTAAAGGTATGGTTCATGACAACTATTAATCTTGCATAAAGTTAGAGAAAGCTACAATGCTTATTCTCTGTAATATTTGCCTTTCTGGTTTTTAAATTTCGAGAAAGTTGGCTAAAAGAGGTTCCACATTCCATATGGGTATCTTCTATATGAAGACATGTCTGTTTATCACTGATAAGGTGTTAATCATAACTGATTAACCTTAATTATCTTAATTAATAAACCTTATATATATATTAATTATGCTTAATTAATAAACTTATATATATATATATTATATAGTATAATATATATATAGGTTGTTCTAGTAGCAACCATTAATTTAGGCAGTAATATATAGGTTGTTCTACAACCTTATTTAGCAGTAACTGTGAAATAATGTCTGCAAGTTAACTCTGATTAATGTATTTAAATACGTTATCTTCCTTCCCATGTAATTGGAACCAATTGAAAGATCCACAAAAGAGATTCTTGAGTCCTTATGTATGTTCCATTACTTGGATTTCACTGGTATGAAAATGATTTTGAACATGAACATAAACTATTTTTCTCTTATTTTGCTTGTCCTATATTTTATGATGTTTTTAACACCAGATGGTGTTACTGATAAGTTTTCATACAGTATATTAATTCAATCTTTTTGGTCAGGTAAAATACATAACCTTAGTACCAATTAGGTAGTGGTCCGATTAGTCTTCTCACTTGTATAAGCCGTGAAAGATCTCAAATTCGAGTCCTTCCCAGCTGTGTAGCACACATAGTTATTTCGGGTCACCGGTCCCTCGATAAATTTAAAAATAAGTTAGATTAACTGGAGAAACCATAATTGATGAGTTGTTTGGATTATCTGTAAATGCATTGAAACTACCATTGATCTAATTCATATGCAGCAATTTGATTTTGAAAGAAATACATACTTATATATATGGTCCCATCTCAGTAGTTCATCTTACAATAATTCTACATATAATAATAATAATAATAATATATTTTGATTAAGTCATTGAAAAATGTCTGAAGATCAGTGGCATTTTATGCAAGAATTTGGCTGTTGTTAGGGAAAACAGCAAAGGAATTTACTATAATGTTAAAACATGTATATTATAATCAAATTTAGAACATATTGCAGAGTTGGAGCACAACACAGTACTCTTAATTATGGGGAGAAAATGTGTTTGGTTGCTCAAAAGAGGTTTATATATAGCAGAAGAAGTCCAGTCTTGGAGCAGTAACAAAAACAATCTAAAATTAATATGTAGTATTATATATTGTTTTTATTTTCATTCTAGTTTCTTTCAACTTTCTTGGCAACCAAACACAGTAAATTACACAAATTAAGAACAGAAAGAAAAATTAAAAAAGAAAAAGGAAAAGGAAAAGGAAAATAATTCAAAGCCAAGCATCAGACTTGCCTAGAGGTTTTGGATTACCTCATCTTCACCATTTCATCCATATTACTGATCTTCAAGCCATAGTTCCATGGCTAAATCACTATAGTTAGAGTGTAATAATACCCTTACTCATGGAAGAAAGATACATTCTTCCCTTCTTTGAAACTGCCATCACCATCTTCACCATCATAATCTGCAATCTTGATCGACTCTAGATAGATGAAAGTAATCTCTAGAAGATAGAAAGAAAAAATGAAAATTACATCAAGAAAAGAAGAAGAAGAAGAAGAAGAAGAAGAAAGAAGAAAGAAGATGTGACCCTAATTTTGGAGTTGTTCGTTATTTTATATACAATAATTATATTATTGTAAAGACTAATAAAATAGATTTTGATTACTTAGTTGGTAGAATTAAAACGTGGTTTATTATTTAATCACTTCAGTCTGTAATAATAAAAAAAAAATATTTTTTTAGTAAAATAAAGAACCTCTTTATTGTATGAGGGTGGGAATCTATGGCTCAACCATTAAATTGTTGGGTCCATTATATTTAATGAAAATTAATTAATTAATTAGTTAATTAATTAAAAGTAATGATCATGGTTGGTTTGGAACTGAATAATTGGAACACATCTATGAAACAGGCACAATCAAAAATTATAATTGGTGGGTAGAATTGGCAATACGTATTTTGGAGATTATTAATAGGTGGTAAGTACAAGGTTTTTTTTTATAAAAAAAAAAAAAAAAAAAAAAAGATTATTAAATAGGTGGTAAGTACAAGAGGTTTTTTTTTATAAAAAAAAAAAAAAAAAAAAAATCTTTTTTCATCTAAATTTTCAACCCTTGAAACGAAAAAAAAAAAAAAAAAAAAAAATCTTTTTCCATCTAATTTCAACCTTGAAACGACAAATATATAGTTTTAATCGGATGGGTCTTGAGAATATATTTTGACGGGGACAACTAAGACAAATGTCAGAACTCCAAACGCCAAAAGATGATAAGATAAGGGTTTTGAATATATGATGTATCCAACCATAATTATTATTGATAATCGACAGATTTTTAATTTTTTCTTAATTATATATTTAGAAGAAATTTTAAAAAAATTAAAATAGCATTAATTATTTTATTTAATTTTATATGAGTAGATATCTGCATTAATTATTATTATTATTATTTATTTTTATAATAATATAAAAAATAAATTTCCATAGATAAAATAAATACAATTATCTTATAATAATTGTGTAAGGATAATAGTCATTTCCCATTAATGATAAAATAAATGCTAATTGAGAACAACCCAAATTGCAATACCGACAACAACAGAGAGAACAATTATTTAGAGACACTTTTCCCTTCATGTGAAGGAATCCCAATCCCAATTCCTTTAATGCCAGTAATTACTATATCCATTCAGACATATTATTTAACATATGATTAGCTTTAGTTATTAGTGCGAAAAATTATTTTATTAAACATTTAATTAATAGTAAAAAATGTATTTTTAAAAATATTTTAATCATAAAAACTTTAAAACGGTTAAATAATATTTTTAAATTAACCTTTTATTAACTGTTTAGAGGATTGATACGGGGATAATTTAGTCAATTAGAACTTTTTTTTTGCTAAAATTACATTACTTAATGATTTTCTTAATTATTACACATTATCTTAAATGATATCGAGGAGACGAAGGTAATAATATTTTATTAAATTTTAAAGGTATTATTGCGCCTATCTATCCCTATAAATTATTTAAAATTTTTATATGGTGATTAAGGAGATAATTAATTTTTATAAATTATAATAAAATATTAAGTAATTTGATTAAATTATTATTTATTTCTTATATCATTAATTTGACTAAAAATGATTTAAAAAATTTATAAAAAATATTTATTTAATTTAATATTAGGAAAGATAAAATTGAAAAGGATTAAAAAAATTAGTCAATATTCTTAAAGCAAAGAATATTCATAAATAATAAAAATAAAAAAATTTTTAAAATGATGTATATTTATCGAGGGAAAGAGAATCATGTCAAGGGGTGTAGTCTTCGTTGTCTCAGAGGTCAAATTCTTCTAAGAATATCAGTATACCTTTAAGAGATTTGAAGAGCCAAAAAAGTTGTTAAAAAAATTAAGCTTAATTAGCTACTTGACCCCTCTTGCTTCAATTCTGAGTCTCTCTCAATTGATAGGTTTATCTACTTTGGACCTACCCAAAAAATTTGATTAAGACAAATTAAGAGATGCAATTAGAAGTATAATTTTGCATTAATTAAAAATAAAAAATTTATAACAAGAAAGCAGAGGAATGATAAATGGACAAGTGGCTAAAATAAAAGAGTAGAAGACACCAAATTCCATGAGATGGAAGAAAGCCTTTTTACGAGTGGTGGTGGTATAATGATTTAAACTAAATAAAAGTAAGAAAATAATAATAATAATGTTACGCTCCAAAAGGAAACATGATTCTCATACAAGCAGATATAATTTAGGACCCACCATATCATGGTTTCCACCAAACAAGATTTTTGTTTAGCACTTAATACCCCTTTTTTCTTAAAGGGAAAAAATGAAAAAATTCTTTAATAACTATACATATTTTACTAACCATGGTACAATAGTTGTAAAGTAGGAATAGCTGCTTAGCAAAATAATAATAATAATAATTAAACAGCATATATGTAAAATATACAATGTGGGACAAAATGGAAAAATCACTTGACTCAAAGAAAAAGAAAGCATACAGTGGAAAGTCAACATGGCTTTCCATACTTCCATTTCCATAATAATAATAATAATAATAATAAATGCTTCCATTTCCGTAAAGTTTCTATTTAGTAGGTAAAACTTTGAAAGATAATATATCCGTAAAGTTTCTAATTTAGTAGGTAAAACTTTGAAAGATAATATATAAATATATATATATATATATATATAGTATATATATATATTATATATATAATAACAATAGTTATGGTGTTATAATATTACTTAAATAAAATTAATCAAAATTTCTACAATGCAAAATATATACATATATTATGAGTGGATTTTGTCAGGTCTTGCCAATCATTTTAAGAAAAATTAAAAAAGATCTTGCCAATTCCAACTTAATAAGTTAAAAACATTTACCAGCAATCTGTTTTTTTTTATTATTAAAAAAATAATCCATTTTATGTATTTCCGTTAATTATTCAACACCCGTTATGCATGGTGATTGTGCTGCTTTTTGTAAACTACATTTGCATTGTTCAAATCATAAATTAAAAAATAAAAAATAAAACCAATTCTTTAAAGTTTTTTTTTTTTTTTTTTTTTTTTTTTTTTTTTTTTTTTTTTTTATAAGACAAAAAAAATAGAGCAGCAATTCTAAAAGTACCCTCTTAAACTCAAACACACCAAAACAGAACTTAGTATTTGGTAGGAATAAGCTTCAAGAAATAATAGAAGAAGAAGCAATTATCAACCTTCTTGTAGCCAAAAATAGAGCTTGCAGGATACAAAGTTAATGGACAGTAGAAGCCTAATCACTCTAGTACTGATATTTCAAAAGGAAAAGTCACATATATCAATCTCCCAAATTGCTATCCCTCCCAAATATCGAAATTAGCCAACAGTGTATATGAATAGAACAAAATATAAGCGGTATAGCAGTAGTATATTAGATCTGAAATTATATCCCGGACAAAATTGATTAAACTCCTCCACATGCCATGCTGCCTTCAATCTCTGGATGCCTGAAAAAGAAAATAAAATTAAAACCCAATTGCTAATAAAGAAGATTGACAAAGTTAGGACCAAAAATCATTTTTTAGCGGGATGGCAAAATACCCAGAATCACGGCATTATCTGGCCAAAAGGAATGTCATCATGTTTCAGAACGGATGACCCTGTAAAAGTAAAAAAAAAAAAAAAAAGAAAAAAAAAAGGGCACAGAAGAAATTGCATGGCCCTAATAAAATATGGCCTTCTGATTGTATCTGTGTCGGTTTATATGATGATTCCTTCATTTATCCTAACTAACTTGCGAAGGTGCATTAGAACGAAAAACAATCTACGCATCCCAAAACGAAGGAATGTATTTCAGCCCCAAAACTAGAAAACTGTTGACGAGAACGCCAGATTGACCCTTCAATTCCAAGAGCTTCCTTTCAGTATACTCTCTCTGTTTTTTAACCAAGCCAGGACAATAGGAAAAAAAATGTTACACCAAACTGCACTTCCGACTTCCTAGGCTGGAAGGCTTGATCACGATCACGATTTGCTATATCTGCCGCAAGCAGACAAAGCAAGTCCCCAACTTGAGTCTCCAATATAAACAGTCAAATTCTTTGTCAGGGCTGTTTAGTTCATTAAAATATTATTAATAAGCTTGGGCTTGTCTGTAACGGGTTTCCACCTTCATAATAATCTCCACCCGGTTTGAAATTGATTCTACGAAATCAATACTCCATTGCGCAGTGTATATTTCAGAAACATCAACCCCTGCACCGAAAGTAAATTAAAGAATTCACCATGGCGCACAAGATTTTCAAGCTTTGATTTAGGTGGTGTAAACAGTACACGTGGGTAGTGGGAATAGGAGAAGACGTAAGGTGAACGAAAAATTTTCAGGAAAACAAAAAATTGCAAATAATGTCCAAATCAAAAGGTGTTTAATAAATGCGCATAAGCATATAATGCAAAACAGGGACCCCAATGTCTAAGGGTGGACAATATCAATTATCAAGTTGAGTTCAAACCGAGTTATTCTGAGCATCTCATCGAAGTTGAGTTTTGAAGTAGCGTGTGAGTTCTAATGCAGTCATCATAAGTTAGTACATCTATTGCCTAAACTATCTTTAAAGTTCACTCTCCTCATACATAAACCTATCCTTGCTAATACGAATCCAATTTATTAAGCCAAGAAGGCTAAGACCAAATATCCAAACACATAACAAATGTCAAATGAAAAGAATCCCCCCTGACTTCTAGTTCTGGATGTGCGTAAAACCACCAAAAGGACTTATTCTGAAATGTGGTTGCTGGCAACATTAATTAAGTACTCTTTTTTGATGGGTCACTTAACTTCTAACAAAAAACATACCACTGTCAGATTTTTTAAAAAGTTAATAATAGGCCACTAGATAAGATGTAATGTGAATAAAATGCGGAGATGAGTTGATGTCAATGAAAAGCAGGGAAAACTATAATTCAGTTAGCCGATAAAGAAAAAACCTGATGAGGAAGCAGATCTGATCAGGATCAGCCACACCAACAATATGAGAGGAATGTTATATTAGCATTCAGATTTTCATTCTTCGATGATTTTCTAAAAAAAAACTGGTGCAGCCATTCTTGAAGAATAGTCTTTCCACCCAGCCTCGTTTTATGTCTTCAAGATTCAAACCCTTAATAACTCCAGGATTTGATAACTCTAGCATTTGCCCTTCGCTCACAAGCTGAGAGTTGTTCGAGTGGCTTTACACAAAGCTTCAAAAGTTGGAACTCCACTGCACAAAAAAAAAAAAAAAAAAAAAAAAAAAAAAGGTTCAACCAACCTGAGGGGAAAGGCAATATTATCGGAATCCTTTCATGGACATCATGTTCGTGCCAAAGGTTAGATAAATAATTCTGAGATAATATACAAGAAGAAACTACTTAGTAACTATACTTTTCAGAGGGCAGAATGCTTTCAATGCATTGCTCATATTCTTCAGTATACTGTCAGAGAGAAGAACCATGTTGTCCTTAGCTCAGTTGATGACATCCTAGCATTTGATTAATCAGATTGTGAAACTGATCAGATTTTTGATGCTGTTAAAAATTTGCAAATCTCTGCCAAAATGGCAGAGGAATCAAACCAACTGTTGCATATCAAATCAAAATCAGAATATATCACGAGGCGATCTTCTTAGAGGGTATGCTCTTTCATGAGGAAACCACAGTGCGGCTGATTCAAGTGGCCTGCGCATTGAAGAACTTCTATTTCAAGTTTCATGGCTTGGTGATTTAAATCTTTCATGATGTCAAGCTCTTCGCCTGTCAAAGGGGACACTAAGTTTATCCCAGCAAGTCTTCAGTTTTGCAGAGCTGATGCTATATTTCATGGGGAATACAATAAATTGAGATGTTGGGAGTGGTACAGAAGGCCATATGTAATGCATTGTCCTGCAGAACTATAAATCAAAAAGACAATCTGATTTCATCATTTAGAACAAAATTGGCACTGCCACTGATTCTTAAAATATGGTTACCTGAAAACTCTCAGATGAGTTAATTGGTCAATCCACTTCTGGTAAGATGAATACCAGCTTCTGCATCTATTAGTGCTTGCAGCTCCTTAGGCTAGGAAAGGCATACAACCTCATACAGGGTGTCATGGTACCAAGAGTGTAAGCTGCCAACCTTTGTCTTTCAAAGAGTTGCAAGTTTACCAGGACCTTTCCACTCCTTCCAACCTTTTTTCCAGAAGCTGTAGCCAAACAAGAATCTGTTGTATTTTGCAGTTGCAGAATGATAGGTCACCTCTATGGAAGGCCATACCCCATTCCTGGCATAACTTTAAATGATCAGAGGATTGAAAAGAATTCTTTAAATATGAACAGAGAGGCAGGTTCATACTAATAACTGCAAAATTAAATATTAAGAATGCTACCAGCTATAATTACAGCTCTACTTTATTTTTTATTGTGTGTATCAATTACAGAACTCCATAGATTAGAAGAAATGAGGAAGAAATAAAGCCCTTCAACTCACAGGTATGATATGTTATCGATAACCGGACTAATCCGCTCAAGTATGCAACGCCGCAGAAAGATCAAAAACAGCGTGTACTCACTTTGGGGATGCCATCAATCATCTTTTTAGGGTAAAAAAGTAATAACCTCAGTTTGTCTTTCTCTTGGGAAAGGGTTTGTTCTTACTCAAATATTTTTTTTCCACATCCCTTCCATACCATTCTATACTGGGTAGCTTGGAGCTAGTTGATGAATTTGTTATTAAATATGCAAATCAAAAATCCATTACGTCTCTGGTAAATTAACAAAAGTACGTCAAATATGTAAAACATTAGGCAGTATAATTTAAAATAATTAAAAGAAAAAAGAGGAGGCTTGTGGTTTGATTATCTGATATCCTTTATACTTTGTCCCACTGAAAGTGTAGAGTTTCAAATTCCTATTAGTAAGGACCTCTTATTGGCAAAGGCTTTTCTATCAGTGTTTTGGCATTAGTTGTTACCCTTTCGGTAGTATTATAGGTATATAATGCTTTTCTTCTTTCTTTGTATCTATATAATACAAGACATGTCATGTTCTGAATTAATAATGTATGCTAACCATTCAAATTCTCTTCTCTAGTTACCCTTGGCCGCCGCTGGGTTCAGAGATGTTGTAAGAGACGGTGCGGCATTCACCACCAACTTATCTAGTACAAGTATCTTTTATAAGCACAACCACCAATATAATAAGGGGAATACAAGCACACGGATTGAGAGATGGACAACAGCAATGTTACCACCAAGCTCGAAGAAAGGGTAATTAAAAAGGCAGCAATTATACATCAAATTGTCTAAAGGTTACACACAAACCCAACCATAACCCATCTTCTTTCCTCATAGTTACCTCACATCATTGGAACTAAAGAAACAAGACTATAAGAAGCTTCTATTTAACACATTTCTGTTTGGGGAGGGGAGGAGAGGGTCGGCTTTTGTGGTGTTATAATCTATGTACTTTTGAGTGGTATGATGATATATAAGAAAAATGATGAGGTTGAAAAATAATATTTCTTGCGCATATTGGCATGAAGAATTATTATCTATATGCTGCCTCGCCGTTTTGGTGGAGTACTCCCGAGCTTGAAAAACGGAAGAAGGAATATGATTTAATATAAAGAGGAGTTATTTTTGTCTTATAAAAACAATGAAATAAAAAAAACCCGGCAACCATAAGTAGCAGAAGGAAGCATATCCACATTTTTGCGGCGCCTCCTAAGAATAGGGTCTGTATATATGGCTAGGGGCTTCAACACAGACTCCATTTGTTACAGAAGAGAGTGGGTTTTGCAGTGGGCTGCGGGAGATCGTAGCGGAGTCGTTCGGTAGGGTGGTCCAGCGAGGAGTGAAGGCCACGTACCACATTTATGGATTCTCACCTTATCTAAAAGCCAACCATCATATTATTCGAAAAACAAATTAAAGAATGAATGAAGAAGACAAAATTAAAAGCTATTAAAATATAGCACATTATAATGTTCACCATATTTACAAGAAATTATATATTGTTAAACAAACAGGTAGGAACACAACAAAATAGTACGAATCTTTCAATGTGTAATTATGTTTAATTTGGGGCAAAGCATAAAAGGAGTCAATCACTACGAGCGTAGAGGCTTTAGGTTTCAATATGAATATAGAGATAGAGACAGGACGGAATTTATGATCCAAATTCCAAGAAAGTGAAAGCTCTGCAGAATGAGTTTATGATTTTCAGTTGTGGAACTGAGATGGAAAAGATGTTAACCGCTCATAATAGTTACAATTCTCCAGGCATTTTCACCCTTTTACGTACCACAGAAAAAATAGTATTTTCTCCTACCCACCTTAATTCCATCCCTTTATTGATATGCTCCTTTGGAAGCAAGAATTAAGGTGCAAGTGTAAGCAATGCAGGCAAAACTTTGACACAACCGTAGTAGAATTAACATGTTACCTAATTATTAACAAAAAATTAACAATTCCCATACTTAATAGAGAACACATACACCCACCTATGGACAAACAGTGCTTTACTCATCTAAACAACTATAAATGATAAACGATTCAATAATTTAGCAAAGCCCGTAACACCACAAAAGAAACGGGCCAATGAGGATAATATGAAGGTGAAGCGGGGTTTGGCTAATTAAAAAATCAATAAATCATGTTTTTTACTATGATAATATATTCTTAATATTCAGTGTTAGCTATTTGTCTTGTTACTGATAGATAGTTAGTTTAGTTGTCATTTATGCTATTAACGCGACCACACTCAAAACAGCCTATTCTCTTACTGCAGGATTATTTAAAAACCCGCACAACCAAAAATAACTAAGTGATATTGAGTTGGGGGTTCCAATAAAGGTGGGCCGGAGGAGTGCAACAGCCTTTTTAACTTTATCATCCCCGCACAGCATTTTCCAGTCAGCGGCTGAGCCTAGAGATTGGTAGGAGACAAAAACAAAGGGTAAGAATGATAATGAGAGTTTTTTTTTATTGGGGGTATTTTTTTTTTGGAGTTTTAGTAGGGTATAAGATGGTGGAGCTCTTCTACTTTATATTTTATATATTTACAGGTAAAGGGGAAAAATAAAATTAAACTTCAGTCTCTAAACCTGTAAACAAATAAGATTTTATATGACCATACTTCAGGTCTTTTCTCTTTTATAGTTCACTCCACCTAGTTCTCAACGCACAAGGGAACGGGAGAAGGGTGGGGGGGGCAATAGCTAGCTTGGCGATTTCATCATTCATCAGCACAACTTCTTCTGCCAATTCATGACCTAAAATTCAACAAAACAACAAGAGACTTAAAAAAAACACAGCACATTGAACATCCAATATATAAGTACCTAGTTGCAACAACATAGATAAGACTAGGGGAAAAAGAAGATAACATAAAGCCTTACAGATCGTCACCCCCTGAAGACACAAATTATACATGCATGATTCCATTGTACCATGGACGTTCCGGAAATTAAAAACTCACCTTATGGTTGATGTAAAATTACTTTTTTTTTCCAAATAATACAATCTAACCTCCAATGGTTGCTGAGAACTGGACAAAAGAACAGAAAATAAAATAAATATTTCAAATCAGAATTTTACTATTTTTTTAATCTCTGAATAATAAATTAAATTCACCAAAATAGCAATTAGTAAAATTATGCTAGTTATGTAGACCGAGTTGTCACCTTCTTTTTTAACCAATGAAGAGAACTCTAATCTTCATATTCTTGGTATTATTTTCCACACCATCGCTCAGCAACCGATGGAGATTGATCTTAAATATGTTATTTTCTTTTCTTAATTAAGGCTATCCTTTGTTATCATAAAATAGCATATCCAAAACCCTTTTTAAAGAAAATCTTTAAGAGTTTTAGTTCATGTTCTTTCCCTAGACATTCTAACAAAAACCAAATAGCTACAAATTAACAAATAAATAAAAACCTCAAACTGATAACAAATGCTCATAATTGTATATTTAAATGAGTCCGCACATTTTATTTTTCGTTACCGAGCAGAACAACCAAAATGTAAGGCATGTAAACTTCTTTATCATTTCTGAATGCAGCAAAACAAACTAAAAGAGAGCAACCAAATAGAATAAAATCAAGAAAATAAAATTGAAACCATCATTTAAGACTCCCCTATAAATACAAAAATGATTGGGAAGGACGATTGAAATTATTTAGCAATCTAGACCTATCTTCTTAGTAATCATTAAAAATCACCCATAAACTCTCAATTTAGATTAAAATAATAGAAAATAAAGAAAGAAGCACTCACGCGTAGCGAAGGCTTTGAGGGAAGTGAAAATGCCTGAGCGAGTGTAATTGCCCTAAAACTCTCAATCTTGGAGGTTGCCGGCGGCAAAAGAGACGACGAAAAGGAGTGTACATAGCGAGAACCGATTTTCTGGCGAAACTTGATCCAGAATTAGCTGAGCGCGAGGGGCGCTCCTCCGTTGTTCCACCAGCAGACAAGAAGTAGGGGGAGGCGGCCCACTGAAGAAGACAGATGAGGAGCTAGCTTTTTGGAGGGATTCGCCAGGTTGGCTTGAAGTGACGATCTCCCGGAAGTAAAAGTAGCAGAGTTTTGGACAGGGGTGGCTGGATTCGGAGCGGAGGGAGGTTTAGAGATGATAAGAAGAGAATGAGTTAATTAGTTTGGTGGGTTGTGCGGGAGTTGGAGTTTGGAGTGAAAGTGAAGGTTAGGCGCAATTTTCAAGAGAGAAGAGAGACCGGGGGAGGAGGGGAATTGAGAGAGGATGTGGGGTTGTGATGGGTTGTGCTAAAGGTTGGGAGCTTTGTTGAGAGGAACGCGTTTATAGGGTGAAATGAGAAGTTGCATATTATGGTAGGGAAAGTTTTATTACTTATGATTTTATTTATCCAACATGTGAAAAGATAAAAAATTATAGTATTGTATTTTGTTGTGGTAATTTTTTAAATATTTGTCATGGCTTTTGATAAGGTAATTTTTTATTTTTATTATGGGGAGGGGAATACCCTTTTATTTTTTTTTTATTTATATTTTCCAGATTAATACATGGAATTAAAATATGAATATATGAATTTTTTTATTTTTTGTTACATTATGTTTTGTTTTTTTAAATAAATTAATTATCCTTTTTGTTGCTAAAAAATTGATAATTGAAATTGAAATTTCACATATCACATCATCAATTGATTTTAGGGCATTTTATAGAGTTTAATTATCGTGGAGGATTTCGACACTTGGATGATTAAAAGAGGAGAGAATCGTGGAGTTTTATTGATTAGACCAAAAATAAAAATAGCGTTAATCCATATTAATTTAAAGATGATTATAGAATTTACATATCAAATTCACCTAAATGCTTCATCTTAAATTAGGTAATATAATGGTTTTGAAAATACTTAAAGTTTTATTACCCTTCTCGGCTCTATAATTGATATAACAAAAAATAAGAAATAAAAAATTATCTAATATTTCTCATTTATTCTAAATTTTGTTTACAAATTAAAAAATTTAATAGAATAGTTAGGATACTTTGCTTGAAAAATAACTTTTACAGGTCCGAGTGAGTAAAATTACGGTGAGTGAATTAAAATTTATCTCTTTCTATATTTATAGATATTCATTTTTAAAAATAAATCGTTAGGTTTCTAATATAGAAATATATGTACAATTCAATAAAAATTGTAAAAATTCATCTAAATAAATTGATCATATCAAATTGATTAAGTTGGATGGTAGTAACTATTAACTTATTAAAATGAGATATGGTTACCAAGATTTAGAACATTAAACCTTGACAGGTTTAATAACACAAGCACTCATCTAGGTGTAAGATATAGCCAGATGCTTTAAATATAAAAGTTGTACTGATTAATCATTCAAGTTGCCTCTTTCTAGGACTAAAAATAATTAAATAATAACATGTTTATAGAACCAAATGTAGTGCGAAAAATTTTATATAAATTTATTTTAAATAAGAATTGATCTTTAATTATTCAGAGAAAAATTCTAACGGAGTGTGAACGGGTTTATGGGGAGAAGAGGGGGCGGGTACGGAGGTGGCGATCCATTTATTGGCCCAGCCATATCATCTTGTTTTTTAAGAGAAAGGGAAATGGGGGAAAGGAAAAAGGGGGGCAAAAAGGTGTAACAGTTGACGAAATGGAGAAAGAGTGAGAAGGTGGTACTTTGACGGGCAATAATGATATATTAAATAAAGCCTAATTTACTCTCGCTATGTACTCTTTACTTATGTTAAGGACAGGTTGTAGGCAGCAGTGATGATTTATCTGTTAGTACTCTTTATTTCATATTTTCCCCTTAAAAAATCCACCAAAATCGTTTATTAATCAATTCCACGTTAAGAACCGCCATAACTTATATTCTCCGTGCGTCGTGGCCTTTACTTCCACTCTCTGAATAACATCACTATTTTATAGATATATTCACGCATAACCGTCCAATTTAAATTTTTGTTTTTATTCTTTTTTAAGCGGATAGTAATATATAATAACAATAATGAGTGAGCAGCCAGTCATGCTGGTATAGAGGAAGGCAAATATATACCACTTTTTTAATAGGGGCGGAAAAGATTAAATAGATTGTAATTGTATGGTTTTTGTGATAATTTGGAGAGGCTATTAAGTATTACGAGCGTTTCAAATAATAGTTTATTAAATCTTTTTTAATAATGTCAAACAAAGATATAAACTTAGCATTTTCTGACCCTCAATATTTCGAAACAGACAATCTTGGGAGTGTATATGGTTGCCATTCTAGG